ATATTACCAATTTGCTTAATAATCAATTAATAAAACATCGCCTGTATGTAATTGCAATAAAACAGCTAACTGAAATACCTCATAACATAGATAACATAAGTGTGGCTCTAGTCACGGAACTACAACAACGTAGACCGGACCATCTAACAGTTTATACAACTCCAAACTACAAGTACTAACAGAAAGTGTCATGGACAATCCCCATGCTCACTCAAATAAGGCAACATGCCCAACATCAGTCTCAACAACAACATATCATAAATAGCGGAAAACATAAACAGCATCCAAATCCAGTCATGCTAACATATAAGCAGAAACAACAAAATCAGCTAAGCTCCGGCCTCCCGCCGCCTGAGGCATCAGTACCCATACTACCTGATCCTGAAATAAGCATTCCCCAAACGAGGGGTAAGATCTCTAATCTAGAAATCTCAGTAAGTCAGTGAGTCCTCAAGGATCTTCCACCCCAAGCTCACTTACATGTGCAATATAAGTTCAAAAGCAGTTTATCATTTATCATTTCAAAAACAATGCAATGCAGCAGATAATCATGCCATGTGTCAATACTAATCTACTGGCCAGAGACAGTGCAGGTATACGTCTATCACCTACACACCGTGCAAGTACCACTTGCATTCACCCCGGTACACCATCTTGTATGGCGCTACATACTCAGGCTTCCCGTCAAGATGAAACAACACATGCATATTAAAAGCCATTACATGTAAAGTTCAATCAACATATCAAATATCCAAAAGCATATACACAGCATGCATAAACCATACCCCCATGGGACATGGTGGAACCACAACATGGCTAAACCGAGGACACGAAAGCTTACCTTGCAAGCTAGCTCCAAAAGCCAAGAGTCCACAACTCAAAGTCCAAACACAGCAGATTCACAATCTGTTATGGACCAACAATACATCAACAACATGCACCACAAGCATACAATATTAAGACAACGCCTTTCCTTACGTTTTCAAGTCTTAAAACTTCTAACAAAGCCACAAGCCCTTAATCCCATGATTCTGGCTTGGTCCATTAAATACAGAAGTTCAACTTCATCAATCTAGGGTCCACAAACCCCCCAATAGCCTACTGTACACACAGCACAGCTACTATTCTACGAAATCCCAGAATATCCGGATATTCCTCGGGACCATATCCGGATATGCAATATCCGGATATCTCACTGGACGTATCCGGATATGCAATATCCGGATATCCAGAATCCCATATCCGGATACCTAGTATCCGGATACTCAAAACTCATATCCGGATATCACATATCCGGATATTCGTCGGGCACATATCCGGATATTTCACGACAGAATGCAGAAAATGCATTTCGTGAAGATATCCTTCCAAGGTTGGTTTTTACCGATTTTAAACACCTAAACATGCATTTCTAAGTGTGTTCAACATTACCCCACAACAAGTTATCATCTTTTGACTTTAACATGCATCAAGCTTTAATTTTTAAGCATTAAACTCAAGATCAAAGGTTGGTATACATACCAAAGGCTTAAATGACTAACAGAACCGGTATCTGCACTTTTCTTCCGAAAAGCGACTTTCAGCATTCTTAATCACTTATTACGATTATTAAGCCTCATAAATAATTATTAGGGTCAATTATGGAATCATTTCCTATTTTCTCGTAATTTATTAATTAAATTTCTTAATTAACGGTGCGGGTTGTTACAGGTTACGTCCAGCAATGTGCACTATATTCTCCTCACTGCACTCATTAAAACATTTGGTTTACAAGGGGATATAAATAGAAACCCTAAGCAACAACAGTTATTCATGGTTCCAAGCCCAAATTACTAAGAAAAAGAAAAATACAATAAGCCAAAGGCTCACAATAGTACCAGGCCTCCGCGGTCCATAGGGAGTTGCCTCCACACCCCTACCGGGGAGGTTGCCTCGATCCTCTCTTGCCTTTCTTTGCGCCTCGCCAACAAGAGTCGTCATCTGAATGTGAAGTATGATTCATACTCAACATTCTCCCACTTGTTGAGTGCTTCGCATGTTTCTTTAGTCTCAATGCAACTGTACATCATTCATTGCCTTGGTCAAAAACTCAGCACTGTTCACCTTTGTGTCAACTTTCTTCAGCACTACAACCTTGTCTTCTATCTTCTCTCTGATAAAGTGGTATTATATTTCTATGTTATTGGTCCTTGCATGGAAGCCTAAGTTCTTAACCAAGAAAATGACACTTTGACTATCACACCCAACGATCACTTCTCCTTGTGCAAAACCAAGCTCTTTGCTCAACCTATGCAACCAAATAGCTTCCTTGACAACATGTGTCAAGGCCATGTACTTTGTCTTTGTAGTAGATAAAGCAACTGTGTTATGCCTTTTACTCATCCAACTGATAGCTCCGCCGAATAAGGAAACAACATATTCACTTGTAGACCTTCTGCTATCAATGTCACCTCTCCAATCAACATCCACAAAGAACTTCAGCTTTAATAATGTTTGTCCTATTGATTCCTTCAAGCCTTTATAGCATAACCTAAGGTCAGATGCACCACAAAGATAACGAAACACGTGTTTCACTGCCATCCAATGCTGGCTCATTTTCTGCCTTAGACATATACCTGCTCAATACTTCCACTGCTTGATCAATATCATGACAAGGAAAATCATGACATACATCAAACTTCCAACTGCACCAGCATAAGGAACTGATGTCATCTCTTCCTTTCTTTCTTCGGTCTTGGGACACTAGTCAACTGATAACTTGGAACCTGTAGACATGGGAGTCAACACTGGTTTGCAGTCAATCATATTGAATTTGTTCAGAATACCCTCAATGTACTTCCGTTGACTCGACCATAACTTTACTTTGTCCCCTCCTGATCTGTATGCCCAAGATCACACTTGCAGTGCTTAAATCTTTTATTTCAAACTGAATGCGAGTCGACATCTGAATACGAAGTATGAGCCATACTTAATAATTTTGGAGTTGTTTGAGATAACTTTATCTCTTGTGACATGAGAAATATGTTTTCACATATATATATATATATATATATATATATATATATATATATGAAAAATTGTTTCTAAATCTATGACAAAAATTATTTTTATGCCACAAACACAAAACAAGAATTTGTGCCCTTGTCTACTATTCTGATTTTTTCTTGCCCTTAATCTGGTCTAGAATTTGTTCCCAGCCCCTTTCGTTCTTGTTTGTTGTACTAGTAATTGCCATCCATATTTAAATTGTATCTTCTATACCTTTAAGGGGGTATTTGATATGGAATGATGGGAAAAGTGGGGAATATTTATTTACCATGTTTGGTGGTATCTTGATGCACCGACACTGACACGGAACACGCGACACGACACGACACGCCGACACGTAAATTCTAAAAAATATCATATTCTGACACGTTGAGACACGTTTTGATATTAAATAATATTTTTAATATATATAATATAATTTATATTTAATACATATATCAGCCCATAATAAGTCATATAACCAATCAAATTTTCAAATTTTATAACATAAATATAAATATAAATAATTTTCATACCTTGTTAATTTTTCATGTCAAATTTCATAACAGAAAAAAATTAATTTAGAAATTATTTTCTCATGTTTCGTTAATAATAAGTGTAAATAAATAAAAAAAGAAACTAAAAACTAGTAGGGCGTGGTTTCTGTTACTGTGGAAGCACATAGAAAAGGAAATCAAACTGTTTGAATCCTTAAACAATAATCACGAGTCTTTGTCGGCATTAATTGTCCTAAGTGAACAAGCAAAATGATTTCTTCTTTACATAATTTTCATTACTGATTTTGCAAAGACCGCACGGATGATATAATATGTGTAATGATTATGGCATTAATATACCTGCGATTGATAAAATCAAAGTAATCATGAGTTTTAATTTTCCCTTATTAATTATATAAATTAGTTATCCTATCCTTAAATTATAAGAATTATTTAAATTGAGCATGTTGATAGAGGCGAAAGTGTGTGTTCGATCCTCTCTAGTTTGGAAAGAATTTAAAATCTTAATCCTGAATCTGCTTCAAACAAGATCGTCTCCAATAAAAGATACACGTGGTTTATAAAGAAAAATTATTTAAATTCAATATATGTGAAGCATTAATCTATTTTTAACGTACAGATTAGATGGGGTAAACATTAAAATTCAAAATGAAATCTGTGATTAATTAAGTTATTATTTCATAAATAAATATTTCGTTCATGTTTAAATTAATTTATTTTACCTTGAGCAAATTTTAAGACTATAATATTTTAATGATAATATTTGATTAAAAGTACTGAAAAAACTTTTCATAAAGCGTAATAGAGGGACACAGATTCAAAACTTAACTATTATATGATTTAATATAATCTATTTTTAACAATAGTAAGATGCACTTTTTAACTTTATATCTCCCCATAATTTAAATGAATAGGTCATTATATTCATTTAAAAAAGTCAATTGAATTTTTTTCAATACATGAAAAATATTTATAATTGTAATTTATTATTTTTAATCTTACAAAATAATTTTTTGACTCTACCTTAATTTCAATTTTGATAATTTTTCTTAATGAGATCATATACTAATTAACCCTGCCAAAATCTTTGATTACGTACAATGCCATCTAATATTTTAAGAACATATAATAGAAGAATTGAAATTTAAAAAATTATCATTTGTAATGGTTAATAGACTTACCAACCAAGAATTTTCTCGCTTCAAATAAAACTTCCAACATTAAAGAGTTTTGATTTATGACATGGATGGCCTAAATGGGAGTTCATGAATGATGACTTTCTTTCTCTCACATGGACTCTATAAAAATATACTTTTAAATAATCTTTTGGCAGTGTCCCCATTCTATATATTCTTTTGCAGCAAGAAGGACCAAACTGACAACAAAGCAACCCCAATTGAATTCCCAAAGGTGATTTCATCATATAGCTAGATCCAACCCAATTCTCTCTCTCTCTCTCTCTCTCTCTTTCCATTTCACGCATTCATTAGTACACATAGCAAACCTACTTTCTTTCGCTTTTCTCTCCACTAACACAAAAAGACTCTCCATTCACTACCCTTTTGCTTTTCGTGTTTTTGGATTGTTCTACTTCTACATCCAAAAAACAAAAAAAAAACATAAAGATGATCCAAGAACTGTTGGGTGGTGCTAGCTTCATATCAGGAGAAAGGAAAATCTCCATTAACGGAGAAGCTCTACTAACACACACACCCTCTCCTAGCTCTCTTCCTTCTTGCACAGCAAGCGTTACCACCACTTCTACAGCTAACGCCGCCGCCACTACCACCACCACCACCACTGCTGCTGCCTCATCAAATTCAGAAAATCAAAACTTGAGGTGCCCGCGATGTGATTCGTCGAACACAAAGTTCTGTTACTACAACAACTACAACCTCACTCAGCCTCGCCACTTCTGCAAGACATGTCGCCGTTACTGGACCAAAGGAGGTGCTCTCAGGAATGTTCCGATCGGAGGTGGCTGCCGGAAAAACAAGAGCGTCAGCGTGTCCAACTCCGTAGCAAAGGTAAGTGCTACAAAGATGAAAGCAGTGGCATCGGAGCTTGGAAGGTCAGGACTTGGTCATGGTTATGATCATGAGCTTCCACTAACCCCTATCCTGTGGGGTTCGCCACAAAATACTCATCTATTGGCTTTAATGAGAGCTAGCCAAAACCAAAACCAAAACCCTAACCCTAACCCTAGTCCCATGTCCATTAATGCTGTTACAGTCAAGGAAGAAGGGAACTTAATGGGATCGCAGTCCCACATGGTGACTGAACCATTGATTGGAAATGGGTTGTTGAATCCTAGAACCCTAGGCTATGATGCTGTTGGACAAGCTCCTTCATTGGGTCTATTCAGCTCTTTTTGGAGAAACAATCAAGAGCAGACACATCAAACAAATAATGGCTTTGTACTTGGAGAACTTCAAAACAGTGGAATTCAAGAACTTTACCATAAGCTCAGGTCATCATCAGTTAATTATTGCAGTGACAGTTCACCAATATTTCTGGGAAACATGGCTTCTTCCCCTTCTTTATCCAACATTTTAGATTCATCTTCAGTTCATGGGAGTGAATTAGGGTGCTGGAATCCAACCGTTTCTTGGTCTGATCCTCCCACAACCAATGGTGCATACCCTTAACAGCTGAAACTGTTTTTCTCCATTTTCTTTTCTCATTAGGTAGAACTCCTTAATTAATTTGTATTTGTAGAGTCTTTTATTTTGTGGTTGTTTGTTTGCTTTGGTTGTGTGTTTGGTTGATGTTGTGTTTAGCTTAGCTCTCAAAGGGTAAGAACCAGAGAGTTTCCATTGACTGGAAAACGTCGTAGTGTTTCTCAAATGCTTCATGTTGTTGTTAAATCTCTTCATTTTATTTATTTCTGCACCTTCGCTTCTTCCTTTTCAACTTTTTCCCGTCTCTCTTTACTTCACCTCTAAAACGCCTAATACAATTTTTTCTGCTTTCTGTGCACTATGCTAGTGACCAAGAGTTGTGGGTCCTCTACAAATATATATATATATATATATATATATATATATATATATATGTAAAATAATAGGCATCATCAAAATGCAAAGATTTAGGGTGTATTGACGTTACATCAGAGGCAACAGTCAATATATATATTTTATAAGACCAAAGAAAAAAGAGTAAAGCTGGGCTACAAGAATATATCATCTTGGAAAACTAAAAAACTTTAGGGTTTCGTTATTAAGAAGTACCGAAGGTGGTGGGTAGCATATGCAAATGCAAGATTTTGTTTTGTTACGAGAAATCTATGAATCTAATGCAAAAGCAGCCTTTGGAAAGAGTTTCCTGAACAGCACTAGATTCTTGATGTTGATTGTGAGGAATCCACCTGCACTTGTTTCTTGATACAGCCTTCGCTGAACAACTATGCCTTACTTCTGTTTCTCCGGTATTATTGCACTAAATTTATTTACTTCCAACACTGAAAAAAAAACTCTCTCACCTCTAATCTGTGTTTGATATACACTGAATTAGCAGTATAATAGGATTATGTTATCCTATTATGTGTTTGGAGTAAACAAGATATCATCAGGATATAAATATAATTGGACTAAAATACCTTTTATAAAATTTGTGTAAAAAAATCATAGTGATAATGTGTTTTTTTCAAAAGCGAGAACGAGAACCAGAAGCCCAAAGAAAAAGAAAAAAAGAAAAGAGGAGGATATATATAAAAAAGGCTGAAGGTGCAAAGTGTTTGTTAGATGGAGTATCAAAATCAGTACATGTTCAACGAAACAGTTGAAGTTGAACTTGTAAAATTTCCCAAGCGAAGCGAGAACGAGAACTAGAAGCCTAAAAGAAATGAAAATTATTTTTCGTTAGGTTTCTTTTTTTCTTTTCTTTTTTCAGATTTGTTCCCATTGTTCGTCGATTAGGATTATTGAACGCATATTCCCCTGATTCAATTGCAAATCTGTCTGTTTTCTATTTTTGATTTATGAGAGTTAAAAGTGCTGAAAAATTTAAAATTTAATATGAAGTGGGCAAGGAAATCAAACAGGATGGATGAAAAGGGGTTTAGCTTACAAAAGGATGCTCTTGTTTTCTATGGATAAGTTGGGAAATAAAAAATTAAATTTTGCTATATTTGGTTTCTAACCCAAGCCCCCCGGTTTGGCCAAGATAAAATAACTCAACTTAATAAGTTTATTCTATCCTATGAACTCATGTAGGATTTTTTTATTTTTTTTGGGACAAAACCAAACGTCTCATAAAAACATGATAGGATAAATTTTCATTGTTCATCTTTCGAGCTAGCCAGGTAGCTGTCTACTCATGCATCTTGGTACGAAACAGTAATGTGAGCCTATCTATCCTACTATATATGTGAATTGAGAATCACCCGGCGGTCATCTGAAAACAGTGTTTGGGCTTCCTTTATCACCCCATAGTTTTCCTGTTTAGGGCTATGGACCCTCGCTCATGGTGCATGAATAAAAATCTTTTACGTCAACAAATGATCCCCAATTAAACAAAAAATATACTTAAATATTAGGAGAAGGATATACTTACCACTAAAAAAATTTACAACATTTACAACTAACTTAATCACCATTGATTTCCGTCAATCTAACGGTTATCATTTATTGGAAATTATTAGGTCGCATTTATTAATTAATTATTATTTCTAATAAATTATAACCGTTAGATTGACGAAAATCAACGGTAATTAAATTGGTTGTAAAGATGGTAAACTTTTTTGGTGGTAAGTTATCCTGCCCTATATATTATGAGAGTTATAATTAATCTCGGTAATTTAAAAAATATCTAGATCTAGTTAAAAAAAATTTTAATCTTGTAACTTTTTGATGCCATATGTTATGTAATAGGAATAGTGTAATATTATATAGGAATCTCTCTAATCAAACTAATTCTAATGACACCTTTTGCTATGTTTCACTCAAAGGTAGCAAATGATAGTTTTGGATGTCCAATAATTCTCCTCCCCCTTTCCATCTCCTAACTGCAACCATGCGCTTCTTTCTTACAAAACATATATAATGTGGTATATTGGTTTTCTTTCTTATTTATTTTTTTCAAATAAAATAAGAATATATTTAATTTCGATTATTTTTTAAATAAGAATTTTAATAAATCCTTCAAAATATTTTTTAGTGTATTTGGATGTAAATTTTTTTTTATAAAATGACTACTTAAACAAAAAAAGTCAGATATAACTTACTTTAAAAGTAATGATATTTTCATTTGTATCCAAACAAGCTCTTAATATATTTTTTAAAAGTTTAAATTTTTTTCTTATGATAAAATCATCATGTTAGATAAAAATGAAAACAAATTTTATCATGCAAGACAAGAACGGACAAATATTCTCATAAAGTACTAGTAATATTTAAAAAAAAATTAGGACTGTTATGGATATATACATCATATCCTAACTACTCACCTGAATCCACATAAATACATAATTATCTCAACAATATTGAGCAATCAAGTACTCAAGATAAGGACCTCATCCCAACAGAAAGTGAGTTGAATCCTAACGCAATCTGGGAGATCTAAAAAGGCTCAAGCCTAAGAAGGTAATTCTTATAAATAAGAGCCTAAAGACTCCAGGTACACACTTTTAACCTATTTACTATTACTGTCAACACTGTGCACACACCACGTCTTGGCTATAAGCCTATTGCTTGTGCGCAGTGATTGAGATATTGACCATAGGCCAGATACATACCTACTCCTTATCTTGAGCAATCAAGTACTCAAGATAAGGACCTCATCCCAACAGAAAGGGAGATGAATCCTAACGCAATCTGGGAGATCTAAAAAGGTCCAAGCCTAGGAAGGTAAATCTTATAAATAAGAGCTTAAAGACCCCAGCTACACACTTTTAACCTGTTTACTATTACTGTCAACACTGTGCACACACCACATTTTGGCTATAAGCCTATTGCTTGTGCGCAGTGATTGGGATATTGACCATAGGCCAGATACATACCTACTTCTACGGTATTTCTGAGCGCATACCATCTGGTATAGCAATACGGTCTATCTAGGACCTAGCAAGGACCTATCTTATTATTCATTTACGTGAAAGAATTCAAATGATATTTTTGGTCGTGTAGTGGTATGACATGTGTACGAGCTATGGCAAATTAACAAGAGCTTTGTGAATCTGTTACATTGTATTGTTTATTTTATCATGATTTCCATTATTTTTGGAGACCAGCCCAGTCTAAACAAGTATATGGGCTAAGGTCAAATATAATACAAAGTGGCCCAAATTGTAGCATTAAACCAAAGAGAAATATCTTGTGGATTCATGACACGAAGCATGATCCAGACTAAAGGGAACAACATGAAATCCTGAATTAACGAAATAGCGATTTTCACAATTTCACTATTAGGACTAATTTAAGATGACGATATCAGATTGCTAAACTAGCACCATGAGATGGATCTGGTGACCCTCCTATTTTTTATTTTTTATTTTTAATACTACCATGAGGTATCTTCACACAGGACTAACATGTTCGAATATAACTTTGACCTGAACATAAGGTGCTTTGAATCCTTGTACTTCATGTAAAATCCTTGCTAGCTGATCAAATTTAAGTGAACGAAATCCAACTCAATTAATTCATAAATTATAACTGTAAATAATTAAGTATGAAATCAATTGTTAAATTACAAATGAGCAATGGAAATTTAATACAAGACTTTTTTCAATATACGTAATAAGACTATAAGAAATTTGAGAAATTAACTTCTCTCCATATGTTCTTTTTAAAAAAATAAAAAAAAAATCTAATTGTAGTCAAGCCCTCATGACTAGAAGATAGATACGCCAATAAATAGGAGGTTGATACTTGATAGTTGATACTAAGGGTGATGTCCAACAGCTTTGCCGCAAAGCAGGGCATTATTGGGAATGTCATATTCATTAGCAAGGTTTTGCTGTGCATTCCACACCCTGAGATAGAACTGTTGACCAAGATATTGCCTTTCCCATATTGCAGACCTCAGGTTCCACATACCTTGGTTATCCAAGGACACCAATATTGTAGTCCACGAGTTTGGATACACCTACATTCATTTGAAACACACCAGTTAAGCATATAAAAAAGAAACAAACAAATAGGTAAATTTTATCATAAAAGTTTTAAGTACTTTCTCTAAAGAAATCTCAACACAAGGAATAAGGCACTTTCTTGCTTAGCTACCTGTGCAGTGTGTCTAGTCAGGGCATCCACTAGATTATAGGTACTTCTACTGGCATCTGTCCACTGGCCGAAACCATAACTGTAATTGTACCAATGAACATTATTAAAACTCCCTTAAGCTATTGCAATAAAAATAAAGATAAATCGAAACAAAACTCAAATCAAGGAAGCTGACATACCCAACAACCCAAAAATCATAACCATCAAGATGCCAAGATTGCATGGTGTTTTCATTGTTCTGGAAAACAACCTCAATAAAATCATGGAGAGAAGTTGGCAATACTGAGGTAGCTATATATGCGGGACCCTCAGAGGGAGCGCTTTGAAGTGAATTCATACTGAAGATTCCGGGAATGTTGAAGTTATCAGCAAGCTTCAGAGGGGTATCAGGGTTAACATAAGAGACCCGGTTAACAGCATAACGGAGCTTCCCATTAATCAAAGGTGCTGAATTGGCCAATTTAATTATTTTTGTAGGAGTTATCTTCCCATAATGGAATGACCCTTGTGGGTTAGGCCTAGCAGCATTTGCTGTCAGATTCCATCTGCAGGAATAGTTAATTTTAAACATATTAAAATCTATAAATAAATCAAAGCAAACTCAATAAGGCTTTTCTTTTATTAGGATTTTTTGAACAACCTGTATGTTCTAGCTTGCTTCATAGACCAATCATAATTGTCAGCGGGGGGAACAGGCAAGGGTCCTGATGCTTGGGACTGAGAGTTTGTGTAATGTAGCACTGCAGTTGTCGTGAGAAGTGTCTTGGTAAATCTTGTTGAGGCAACAACGTAATAATCCTTTGGAGGCTGATTTAAGGTTACTAACACAGCAACTGATTGCCCAACATGTACATCAAGGGAGTCGTATAGGTTCTGGACAGTGTGTGATCCTTCAACCTCAACCAGCTTTAGAGTATGACCCTGAATTCTGAAGTTAATTGAGGTTGACAAGCCCACATTTGATATCCTGAACATATAGGTTTTTCCTGAAAGCAAAGTGCAAATACCGTTGGTAAAAGCAATTTTGACATAGTCGAATGTGTCACTTAGAATTTGGGCTTTGTTGAACTATATCCTTTGAAAACACAGCCTTACCCTGGTCACCAGTGAAGGTAGAATGAGCCTGACCATTGACAAGGAGGCCATCTGGAAAGGCAAGAGATTTTCCAGAATCCAAAGATTGCCTTAATGTCTGCAAACAAGAAAAAAAATGATGTTAACAACTTAACATGACAGGAAACAATAGGAATTTTAATTTTCACCCTAATCTCAAATTTAGGGTGGCAAATTTTCTCAGGGAGCACAATGCAGTAAGGGGGCGTGACCAAGACATGGAAACGTCTTCAACATTAGACATGAATTCCTATTAAGAAATATTAGCATCCAGTATATATATCCAATGAATCTCAGCAGCAGAGCAATTTGAAGGATATTTTAAAATAGTATATTTATGAGGAAAGGGAAAAAAATCTTGAGCTTGTTTACCTTGTGGTTGGTCTTGTACCAATCACCAATGAGTAAAGTAAAATCTCCATCAGGGTTTGGATAAGGGATTGGGATGACAGATCTATGATAAACATTGAGTCCTCCAAACCCTCCAGATGCTTTATGCAGTTTAGTTGATGGAAAGTATGTATAAGTGCCAATCTGATCCTTGGCCTGAAACCTGTAAGTGTAATTTGAGTTCGGAGGAATGGGGCAGTTGGTTCCCAAAACTCCATCTTGCCATGAATTCTTCCTTTGTTTAATGCCGTTCCTATTTTATGACAACAATGTTAAATCATGTTCTTAAAGAAAATCTCACAACCAGATAATAAGGACACTGAGAAAATTCAACTCTGTTATGCCATTGCTCATTATCTTAAAACAAGGTGAGAAGGGAAAATAACGGCAGATATATTGGAAACCTTGAAAACTCTTTTTCTTTTGATTTCTGATATTGATAAAGGGGTTTTGAAATTTCAGTAAGATAATCATCTTATTGGACAAAATGCCGCTTTTCTGGCTACTATTAACGGATGCAGTGGATAAAGATGATACAACTTAACTTAATGCTGATACAGCCTAACTTAACTTCTAACTGATGCGTAACTTACGGATTCTGTTGTACAGTTAGTTAGTAGATTCAGTTAGTTAGTTGTTAAGCATAGTTAGCGTTAGCGTTTTGTTAATAGGCTTAGTGTATCGTAGAGGCTATAGCTTTCTTTTGTATATATACTTTGCACATTGCTTTATTCAGTAAGAATGAATCATTTCAATACAAATCTCAATATGGTATCAGAGCCACACAAAGGGCTCTGATAATCACGCAAACCGCTTATTCGTTTTCTTCGTTTCTTGCGTTTCTTCTCTTTTGATTTCAATTGATATTCTTGAGTTTTGAGATGGCAAATCATGTTGCTGCTCCTGATTTTGTGATGAATCCGTCGAATCCGTATTATCTACATCCAAACGAGAGTCCATCGTTGATCCTGGTATCACCTCCATTGACAGGGAAGAATTATCATACCTGGTGTCGTGCTATGACTGTATCATTGATTTCTAAAAACAAGTTAAGCTTTGTTGATGGATCTATTATGGCTCCTGATCCAACAGATCCACTTTTTCCTTCTTGGCAGCGTTGCAACACAATGGTCCTTTCATGGATCCATCGCTCAATAGCAGAAAACATAGCTCAATCAATAATCTGGATTGAACGAGCATACGAAGCATGGAGAGATCTGAGAGATCGTTTCTCACAGTCAGACATTTTCAGGATTACTGAAATTCAAGAAGACATGTACAAGCTGCAACAAGGTGATAGGAGTATTAGTGATTATTTCACACAGTTGAATATCCTATGGGATGAGCTTGAGAATCTCAAGCCATCACCAAGGTGTAGATGTATTGTACCGTGTAATTGTGGAGCCTTGACACTGGCAAGGACACAGAGAGATAATGATTACGTAATTCGTCTTCTAAGAGGATTAAATGAGCAATATGCTCAGGCGAGATCACAGATAATGCTTATTGATCCACTTCCCAATGTGAATCGAGTGTTCTCAATGGTTACACAGCAAGAACGTCATTTGCAAGTTGGTAGCATCAATGAAGTTCAACCTGATGCAGGTATTTTTGCTAATCTAGCAAGTCAAAACACCTTCCAGAGAGGAGGTGGCAGCTACAATCGAGGTCGTGGCCGTTTCAATTCCTATGGAAGAGGCCAAAACAGTGGAGGAAGACTTTGTACATACTGTGGCCGCATAAATCACACTATAGAGACTTGTTTTCACAAACACGGGTTTCCACCAGGTTTTAGGAGCAGGAACAATCATTCTGCATATTATGCAGAAGCTGGTGAAGAACCACATCAAGAGGCTCTCTCTTCAACTCCAAATGTTTCTTCTCAGCATCCTTTCTCACAGGAGCAGTATCAGCAAATTCTGAGTATGATACAGAATCAACCACAAGAGACCAATCCTGATCCACATACCTTGAACTTTGCACAATCCTCTGCTAATCAGGTAGACACAGATATGCAACCATCCCACACTCAATCAGGTAAAATTCCAATCCAGTGGTTACTTGACACAGGGGCCACGGATCACATATCACACGATATTTCCCAATTTTGTTTCCTTCAAAGGATAAAGCACACACTTATCACTTTACCTAATGGTCATCGAGTCATAGCCACACATTCTGGCACAATAAAATTGTCACCTCAGCTTATTCTCCTAGATGTGTTATATGTTCCTAATTTCCATGTCAATTTAGTATCTGTTACTAAATTTTTGAAAACTACTGCATTCACACTAATTTTTTCTGGTCCATCTTGTTACCTGCAACAGCCTCATACCAAAGTGATGACTGGTTTTGCTAGGCAGCAAAATGGGCTTTATGTGATAGATCTTGAAGGTACGGGTAAATCAACCTTCCAATACACTGCAGCTTGCAATACGATTTCTAACTCAAATAAAGACACTCTCCTTTGGCACAGACGACTTGGGCACATCCCTACGAAACTGATGCAGCAGATGTCCATTACTTTCCCTTGTATTAGTTGTTCTGAATTACTAGAACCTTGTGATGTATGCTTTTATGCTAAACAGAAAAAGCTACCTTTTGTATCAAGCTCTACTAAAACCAATAAACCTTTTGATTTGGTCCATGCCGACATTTAGGGCCCTTGTTCATTATCCTCAATTCATGGTGAAAAATATTTTTTAACGCTAGTTGATGAATTTTCCAAGTTCACATGGGTGATCTTGATGAAGAACAAAAGTGAAACCCGAAACCATATCCAACACTTTATTACACTCATTGCAACCCAGTTTAATACTACCATTAAAACCATTAGAAGTGACAATGGCAATGAATTTAAGATGAAAGACTATTTTCTCAGCAAAGGCATAATCCATCAAACATCCTGTGTTGCCACTCCTCAGCAGAATGGGGTAGTGGAGCGCAAACACCAGCACCTCTTGAATGTAGCTAGATCCTTATTTTTTCAAGCCCATTTACCATCTACTCTTTGGCCTTGCACAATTATCCATGCTACCCATTTGATAAATAGAACTATTACTCCCTTATTGTCTAATCATTCCCCTTATGAAATGCTTTACAACATCAAACCTGATCTTACACACCTCAAGGTTCTTGGCTGTCTATGTTTTGCCACAACTAACACTGCTCATCGCACCAAATTTGCCCCACGGGCCATCAAATGTGCTTTCCTCGGTTACAAACAAGGAACTAAGGGATTCATTGTTTATGATCTAGCTTCCCATCAAATCCATATCTCTCGAAATGTTACCTTTTTTGAACATCATTTTCCTTTCCAAAAGGCTGATACCCCATTCCTTGTCACCACACATTTTCATCCTCTTTATGATGTTCCTTCTATCATTCCTCCAACACCTCAACCACAACCACACCCTCACCCTCAACCACTTCCACAACCACAACCACTTCCACAACCACAACCACAACCACAACCACTTCCACAACCACAACCACCTCCACAATCCACACCTGCTGATCCTCACCCTTTACAGGATCCTTTACTTGTTCATACTGCTTCACCACGTCGATCCACTCGCCCTCATCATCCTCCTCGCTATCTTCAAGACTATCACACTGCCCTGCTTACTGCCAAGCAACATCATTCACATGGAGGTATGATCTCTTCTTCTCATGCTTTATCTACTCCATATCCTTTGTCTAACGTGTTATCCTATTCACATTGCACACCACCTTATAAAAAAATTTGTCTTACGGTTTCTGCCAACACTGAACCTCACACATATGCCCAAGCTATAAAACATGTTCATTGGCAACAAGCTATGCAATCAGAACTTGCTGCCCTTGCACTTAACCATACTTGGTCTCTTGTTGATTTACCTCCTGGCAAGCTTCCCATTGGTTGTAAATGGGTTTTCAAAATCAAATATCATGCTGATGGCTCCATTGAACGCTATAAGGCTCGTTTAGTGGCCAAGGGGTTCACTCAACTCGAAGGTGTTGATTACTTCGACACATTCTCTCCTGTTGCAAAGGTCACGACCATCAGGGCTCTTCTCTCCATTGCTGTAGCGCAGGGCTGGCACCTTCACCAGTTGGATGTAAACAATGCTTTCCTCCATGGTGATCTCCATGAGGAAGTGTACATGTCTCTCCCTCCTGGTCTTTCCTCTTCCAAACCTGGTCAGGTTTGCCGTTTACACAAGTCTCTCTACGGCTTGAAACAAGCCAGCCGTCAATGGCATTCCAAGTTGTCTACGGCTCTGCTCTCCCTTGGCTATCTCCAATCATCTGCAGATCACTCCCTCTTCACCCTTCGACGTGGCTCAGGCTTTACTGCTCTCCTTGTGTATGTCGACGATATTGTTCTGTCGGGTAATGATCTGGATGAAATCACGCGTGTCAAATGCTTTCTGGATGACCATTTTAAGATCAAGAATCTGGGCAATCTTCGCTACTTCCTTGGTCTTGAAATCTCACGATCGTCTACTGGTTTATCTGTTAATCAAAGAAAGTATGTGTTGGAGATTTTATCTGACGCTGGGCTTCTAGGAGCCAAGCCTATGGCTACTCCGATGGACTCTTCATGCAAACTCACCTCATCCTCTGGCTCACCTTTGGAGGACCCTTCTTCTTATCGTAGACTCATTGGCAGGCTCCTATACCTCACTACAACGCGTCCTGATATTGCCTTCGCTGTTAATCGCCTTAGCCAGTTTGTTTCTTAACCCTCTGACGTGCATTTACAGGCTGCACATAGGGTGCTTCGTTACCTCAAAGGCATCGCCCAGCTTCTGTCTACTGTGATAGTCGTTCTGCCATTGCTCTTGCGCATAATCCTGCCTTCCATGAGCGTTCCAAACATATCGAGATTGACTGCCATGTCACTCGCGAGAAGATCCGTTCTGGCTTGCTTCATCTTTTACCCATTGCCTCATCCGCTCAACTGGGTGATTTCTTCACCAAGCCTCTCCCTTCGGTCCAGTTTCGCCTCTTGCTCTCCAAACTTGGCGTTCTTGATGTTCACCGCCCAGTTTGTGGGGGGGTATTAACGGATGCAGTGGATAAAGATGATACAACTTAACTTAATGCTGATACAGCCTAACTTAACTTCTAACTGATGCGTAACTTACGGATTCTGTTGTACAGTTAGTTAGTAGATTCAGTTAGTTAGTTGTTAAGCATAGTTAGCGTTAGCGTTTTGTTAATAGGCTTAGTGTATCGTAGAGGCTATAGCTTTCTTTTGTATATATACTTTGCACATTGCTTTATTCAGTAAGAATGAATCATTTCAATACAAATCTCAATAACTTCTAGGCAAATATGTCATCTCTGACTCTCTTTTAATAAACCTTAGAATATACAGTCATGTAAAAGTTTCATAAAGTTTAAACCGCTATTGAGTTGAACTAATGTAGCCCTATTTGTAGAAGTTAAGCAGTAAATGCTGCCTATAACAAAAATGCCACCTTGTTGCCCAACTCTGTTCATCCAACATGTTAAAATAATAAGATCTATCATAACTAAGCAGCTAAAGGGACATTCAAAGAAAACACAAGTTGATATGTACACAAAAGGGAGTTTATGCAGACCATAAAGCACAGATTATGAATCAAGCAGGAGAAAAGGCACAGGGAATCATAGAACCTCACCAAGTGAGTAGAAATGGCTCGTCCAGCTTGTTTATGAGGTTGAGAATTACGTTGTCATTAGTTACCAAGTCAAGTCTAGGGCCGGGAAACTGACCATTGATAAGAATAACCTTCAAAAAGAAAGCACCAAAGTGTCAGAATCAGAGTTCCAAAGATAACCTCTAGAATCTAGCATCAAGTAATCCAAGAATAGATCATAGATCCAATAAAAGCATATTGGTTACACACCTGTTGGGGACTACCCAGGGGAGAAAGAGTCCCATAAGTCACCGTCCATGTGTAGAACTTATATGCATCTTCTGCTTTTACTAGAGACACACTTGCTAAAGCAATAACAATGCATTGCAGATAAAGCAAACTAGTTTTTCCCATTGTGTCTACTGAAAATGACAAGAGAGAAAAACACACTGATATTTTATTTCACTTCCTTTGAGAGAAAATAAAAGAATGCCGGGAACTAGGAACTAAAAATGGAGCATCAATGTTGAGTTTCTATAAAAGGAAGCTATTTGGAAATTACCAGATCTGGGCTCTGATGAAAGAGTTACACACTTCAAGAGTGACACACCCACTTAGGTTTGGAGCCTTAATATAAACAAAAGTGAACTGAGCTGGAAAACATGATTGGATTTACTAATTGAGAATTGTTTTAATAATAATTTGAAGATTTTGTTTGTTTCCTAAGGTTGCAAATTGATCATTCATATTCGGCGCGGCTAACTAACGCGTTTCCGTGTGTAAGTTGTTGCTTCCAGCTAAGAAGTACCATGCTACTTTTGAAATTATGTCGAATATATGATGGGTTTATCATCTATCATTTAACATGATCATAAAAAGTTTCCTACACACAACATTTTGTGGGGCTCGTATGAAAAAAAAAAAAAAAAAACTTCGGCACGCAACAAATCTCTATAACATAACACAATCACTTTTCCTATAACATAACTCTTATAAAATTCATATATCATTTTATTAAAGTTAAACTGTTGCTAGTCCCATAACTCTTATAGAATCCACTCAGATTTATACGAGTATAATAGAAAAAAAAATTGTATAACAAAAACAAAAATATTAAATCTTTAAACTATAGGATAATAAAGAGTAAGACAGAGCACCGACAAGACCATTATTCTGAATTTCTTTTTGGAGCAATTTGACGGATATGCATTTATATTTATAACATTTAATACATGTTTCAAAATATGTCCATGTGAAGTTCATAAAGGGTACAAAGAGCTTTGATGAGATATATAACTTTTGTTTAACCACTTGAATTTAAAATGAAAAAACTCTGATATAAAAAATTAATAATAACGTTGAAACTAAAACATATGAACAAAAGTAAAGATATACTCTGCTCGTAAGTGTATACCACGTGGTAAATTGAGCAACCAACCGAGAGAGAGGCGAATAAGACTTCAATTTTATTTGTAAAGTACTTTCCCAATAGTTTGAAACGTTGATTAAAAATAAAGCTTAATTATAATTAATCTAATTTTCTTTCACTTTCAATGTAAATATTGTATATTTAGTATTTAATAATGTGCTACAATATTATTAAAAAGGTTGGTAACATTTAATTTTAATGTATATTTTAAAAGTGTTTTATAGATCATTAAATGATTTTGTAAAAAAAATTATGCAGTCCTAATAATGTAGCTAATTTAAACCCATTTTATGGATGAACATAAAATAAACAACATATAAATACTATCTATGTACACTATCGATTGCATACATCATACATGCAGTTTCGCGAATCTACTTCTGGTCTATATTATTTTTCCACGAACTTTCTTTCTCTTTTATTAGTATTGCACTCTTTTTGAACTACAAGAAATCAAGAATAGCCCAGAGGGGCAATACTGTACAATCGCCGATTCTGACATCCCAGAGACAACTGTAATTATTTTAAATTTTTGTTGAATCATACTGGTTCAAGGCGGCTAGTTTCCATTCGGAAATTGTGTTATCGAATCTAAGCTAGATAAGACTCGTTAACATGGAGCTTTAAGTAATGCACATTGGAAATTATCTAAAAGAATAATGAGGCAATTACCGAGTCTTCCCTTGGACGGCCAAATAATTAATACAACTCTTACGATACAAAAAAAACTCAACCTAGGAGAGCTCATCCTGTAAAGAATTGTGATATACCACTCCAAAAGCTAGCTCAAAATGTGAGAGTGTCTAAGGTCTTATAAACTCTCACATTAGTTGCTCTTCAACTAATGTGGGACTATATATCTCAACACGCCCCCTCACGCAAGAGCCATCTTGGCTTGAAGCGTGGATTATACAACAGGCCCAATCTTTGGTTCCACTTTAAAGTGGGAGGCGGTGAGGATCAAACCTCAAGCTCTGATATCATATAAAGAATCTTGGGATACACCACCCCAAACGCTAGCTCAAATGGTGGAAGTGTCCAAGGTCTTATAAACTCACACATTAGTTACTCTTCAACTAATCAACTAATGTGGGACTATATATCTCAAAACATCCTTAATTTTTTTGATTATCCGGAGGCAACTAGGGCATCAAATCCTAAGAGGCACATATTGATTGTGTTTAACTCAACTATTAGTCAACAATAAAGGGGGTAAAAAAGAATCAAATTTAATAAAGGCCATAAACAGATGGGCATATTTTGTGTGTATCGATAGCTTCTTGCATATTTTGTAAATTATTTATATCTTTATTTCTTAAAATATAGAGAAAAGTGTTTATCCTTTTAAATGATACAACTTGTGTTATTTTTTTCTCACAAAGAAATAAGATCCGCACCTTTATTTTATTTTTTTGTCCATTCTCTTTTCCTATAATCTATCTTTTTCTCTTAATTAAAATGACACAATTTTATATCTTTTAAAATGATATCTATTTTGTTATCAAAAAAAAAAAATGATATCTATTTTTTTTTTTCTAAAACATAATGGGAAATTTAGACAGGGTGTAGGAAAAAAAGTTGGACCACGCCCAACAGTGATGGGCATACACACGATGAGACATTGAGATGTAACACATAGATAAATGGGCTAAAAGCCCATGCTTCGGGAGGATGGGCGTGCCCATGACGAGATATTGAGATGTAAGTCACATCAAGAAAATGGATGCACTGTTCAGATCTCAAGTATCCCTACAAATTAAGAACAAAACTTTAGTGCTCGGTAGTTTATTTTAGATTAGGTAGATGAATTTTGAGATTCTAGAAATTTGTATAAAATTTGCCTACATATTTTAAAATAAATAATTAATGCATTGAATTTCAATGTATCAGTTGCACTTAAGATATTTTTCTATAATTTATCATCATATTATTATAAGAGGAGGGTTATATTAATAAAAAAAATTAGAAATTTATAAATTACATGGATAAAATTTCATTCAAAAATATTTTATTAATAAGATATAATATAAGTTATATAAAAAAATTATAAATATAACGTGTCCTTTCTTATTATATATGACAACATCAAATAGAAGAATGTAAAATGTAGGTGGAGGTGCCACGAAGGCTACAAGGTTTCCACGTTTGTTAGAGTCCCACACGTGTAAGGCAGGCACAGAATCACCCTGTTGACAAAAACCTCCACCGAAAGTCTAGTATATTGGTACAACATTTTGAAGCGAAAACAATACCTGGTAGCTCCTGCTCCTCATACCCTTGGATATAATCTTCATTCAATTTCAATCTTTCTCATGTCTGCAAACATAGAAGCAGAAACACAACCTTTGACAACTCCTCCTTATTCCTCAGGTAATTAATTTGATTATGCTGTATGCTCATTAAGTGGTAACAATATTTAGAGTTGGAAATTCTCTTGACCCAAAGATCATGTGTCGTGCTTGGATTTTGTGGCGCAGATGGTAACAACGAAATAGTGAAGGACGTAATCCTATGGAGAAGAAAGAAACTAAGTGCGACTGTTCTTGTAACAGCAACATTAACATGGGTGTTGATGGAAGTATGGCAATTCAACTTCCTCACTGTGGTTTCATGGGTGGCTATAATTGTTACTGCTTCAATGTTCCTCTATGCCAATATGCTTAAACTTTTGGGCAAGTAAGCACCCTTCTGCTACAATTTTCTCTGTCTAATGGAAGATTCTTCTTCATTACATGTAGTAGCTAGCTTAATTTATTTATGTTTTTTCTTCTGTTTGTGTGAAATTCAGGGAACCCCTGAACTTGTCGATGTTGGAATTAAGAGAAGAAACAACTCTAAGAATGGCTAATACAGTTAGAGCATGGATTGAAGAAGCAATAAGGTGGTTGTTCCTGGTGAGCGCAGAGAAAGATTGGCCTGTATTTGTTGGAGTTGTTGCTGGCTTATGGTTACTCTCTTGTGTAGGAAGCTGCATGGACCTCCTAACACTCATTTATATAGGTATATAATATGAGTAATTTCTTTTATACACTCTTTCCCTCTCGATCTCTCTTTATGTATATTTTATTTTTGGTGTATAGGTATATTAGCGGGCATGACGGCTCCAGTAACATATGTGAAGAACGAGGACAACATTAAGAGATTCATAAAGTGGTTGAGGGAGAAATGCGAGAGGTCTTACGAGGTTTTTGATGAGAAGGCCATTAAGAAAATTAAGAGAGTAGTGAACGAGAAGAAGGGGAAGAAAACAGAGTAATCTGCTTTTGTAGTTTGTAACTTGATATGTAAATTATATGCGCGGTTATCTTTTATCAATTAATAAATATTTTAAGTTGTTACATTCCTATTTGTTATATAGGAAATATTACTCTCCTTTCACATGAGGTAACTTATCTCATTTTCTCTCACTTCGATTTTCGCACCCTACTTTTTTTTCTTTTTCTTTTTTCTTACAATAATGGGACCCACTCATTTTCTCTCTACCACATAAGTTATCTTATGTGGAAGGAGATTAATAAAACCCTTCTTATATTTGGCAATATCAGACAAGGACTAGGATTCACGACCTAAATAATAACATTTTTATATCAGATTATATTGTAACCAATTATGCTTAAAAGTGGATCCGTGGCGCAATGGTAGCGCGTCTGACTCCAGATCAGAAGGTTGCGTGTTCGATTCACGTCGGGTTCAAATCACATTTTTTGGCCTTCGAGGGTTCAAATATCGGAATAGTTTAGGGGAAAAAAAATTAAAATAATGTTATTTAATTAAATAATTACATATTTATTGCAATTTTGGAAAAAATTACGGATCTATTGCACACTGTGACGTCTTTTTTGGGCGTCACATGTGACGCCCCATTGAGGCGTCTCGCCCTAAGGGAAGACGCCCAAATGGGGCGTCTCTCGTGTGGCGTTGACACGTGTCACTTTTTTTTCAAAAAAAAAATTAATTTAATCATAGAACTTCTAAAGGCCATAACTTTTGACTCGAGTATCCAAATCAGTTAGTTCTTTTTTGATTCCACATAACTTTTCGAGATCTACGCAATGACATCTCATTTGATATATTTTATTTCTCATGAATGTTTTTCAAAAATAAAATTACCTAAATTAGGCGTGATTGCCTCTTGATTGAAACCCAATTTAGACGTGATTGGTGATGTGTTACGTTTTGACACGTGTTGACACATGTCACATTTTTAAACTCAGAAGCCTCTGAGTTCTGCGTTTGTGATTTAATACAAAAAATAAATCAAGATTTACCTTGGCGCTGAGTTAGTGGGGTTGGATATGTGTTCGATTCCCGCTGAATGCATTCTTGGGGAGGGGGCTGAACCTTTAGCCATCACTGTTTCCGTTCCCCCGCACTCCGGATTAGTCTCATAGCCGGCTCAAAGAGTCGAAGCTCGTGGGGATACCGGAGGGAGCCAACTCGTCTCAAAGAGATCATTAGGGTTGAGTAACTCCAAAAAAAAAAAACAAATCAAGATTTAATGTGTGATTTAAATTAAAAGTAACAATTATTATTAATAACGAAAACAAAATAAAGATTTGATTTTTGATTTAAACTCAAATATACATATAGTTTGAAAAACTATTGGTGAGAAATAAAATATATCAAATGAGATGTCATTGCGTAAATCTCAAAAAGTTATGTGAAATCAAAAAAAAATTTACCTAATTTGGATACTCGAGTCAAAAGTTATGGCCTTTAGAAATTTTATGATTAAATTAATTTTTTTTGGGAAAAAAAAGTGACACGTGTCAACGCCACACGAGAGACGCCCCATTTGGGCGTCTTCCCCTAGGGTGAGACGCCTCAATGAGGCGTCACATGTGACGCCCAAAAAGGGCGTCACAATGTGCAATAGATCCGTAATTTTTCCCAAAACTGCAATAAATACGTAATTATTTAATTAAATAACATTATTTTAATTTTTTTGCCATAGTTTAGGTGTTACTTCTTCTCTCTCTTTTTTTAACTAGGTTAGCTTTTACTTAAAGCTGAATAAAATTACTTTTTTAATTACATCGGGAGGATCGGGAGTACGTGAATCTCCCATTGACACTTTTTTTTAGTACAACAAGGGGCAAATCTTCAAAAGAAAACTACAAGAAAATTAGATCTGAGACCAAACACGAACCCAGCTTAACAGGACACTCAGAGAGGAGAACAAATGGCTCCCTTCCAGAGTTGGCAAGTTTAGCAAGATGATTTGCACGACAATTACACACCTGTTTCACATGCTTGAAACTGAGACACCAATCAAGATTACACATCTTTTTAATTCTGTCCACCAGCTGAAGTTGGCAACTACTGTCATTAACTGAATTGATGGCTTGGATTGCTAAGAGGCTATCACTCTCCACCACAACGCACCGAGCATTGTTATCCCAAGCCACACACATGCCTATATAAATAGCCCATAATTATGCCATGAGAGGGGGACATATCCTAATCTTATATAAAAAGCCTTTTATCCACGAACCTTTATCGTTTCTTATTAACCCTCCACAAGTGGCTAACTCAGGGTTCTTCTTGACTGAAGCATCAACATTTAATTTCCACCATCCATTGGGTGGGGTTGTCCAGTTATCTCTTTGCATAGGAACAGTGGGGACTTGAGTCCGAGGCTTGTTGATAGAACTAGTTTTGATATCTCTAATGAAGGAGGAAATAGCCACTAAGGGGTTATCAGGCCTAGGGACTCAAGGGGAGTGAGTCTCGCTGTTCCGCCACTTCCACAGGTACCAGATGGAGGTCACAAAAATGTCCTTCCAATTTAAGAGTTGGTTATGGGGCCAACCTTTACTCATATTTTTCTGGAATCAATCCTTAAAAGGTAAAGAGGAGAAATCAACTGGAATATTACCTGAGAACCAGGCATCCCAGAGGGAGTTCGCCTTGCTGCAATCACGAAAGACATAGGAGATACTCTCCTCTTGATGTGCACAGGTATGGTAGAGGGGTGATCCTCCCCACCTGGTTGTGTGCTTGTTCGTGAGGATGCGTTCATGATACATCATCCAAAGAAAGGACCTCAGCCTGTGGGGGCTATTCCAGCTCCAGATTTTGTTCCAATTTGTATCAGTCTATAGCTCATCAAAATTCATAAGCATGCTATAGGCACTTTTGACCAGATTTTTAGGGGTACCTTGTCCTTTCGAAATCAATTTATCATATCCTTTCTCCTTAGAAGGAGGGAGGATGGCGCAGATGGACTGCATAGCCTCCACAGGAAGAACTCTTGAATATCCTCCAACTTCCAATTTCTTAACGAAGCATCCACGATGTCAGCTACCTTTATGTCCACATCTTCCACAACAATAATGTTATCCGAAACATAATCAAGCAAGGGTCTATCCAGATGAGTCCACCTATCTTTCCAGAAATAAATGTCTTCCCCATTTCCAACATCCCAATGAAGGTTATTGAGCAAATCCTTCAACACCCGACCAACACCTTTCCAGAGGTTGGAGTCATACGGTTGCACTTTGGTAGGAATAGAATTAGAGGACAAATCTGATGAAGAAGAGGAGGACATTAATTCTTTAAGGATTCTAAACCAGAGACGAAATTGGGAAGTACAACCTGCAAATCGGTTCACCTTTCAAGATATTGAGATGTAGCTTAACATTATTGACGTTGAAGTTTATGATTATAATCATGTATGTGATGATTATCCGATCAATGATGATAATTCAATTTATGATGATTATCCAATTTACGGTAATTATCTAACATACACTGAAAATTCAGTTTATGAAGATCATCCAGTCTATGATGATCATTCTGATGGAGAATCAGATGATGAGGATCTAATAGAGAAAGAATTATCATTTGAGTTTGTATCTAAAGAGATCGAGATCAATGAAGATAAAGAAGATCCGAGGACGGATCTTTTCCTAGCATGGGAGAATGATGCAATTAATTTTGACACATTGCACATGATCCAACCATTGATTCAAGAAGTTCAAGATAAACAAAAAATGTGGCCCAATTATTAAAAGGAACAATAATTTAAAATATAACAAGTTATGATCAAATTCAAGTCCAAATAAAGCAACAAATATGATTGTGATTTGTTTGGCAAGAAAAAGAAAGCAAAAAATTTGTCATGATTTGAGATCTACGACTTGGGGCGTGTTTTTAATGATTGAATTGTAATTATTTGTTTATTTTTAGAATTTAATTATCATTATATTTATTTTTAGGAATTTTCCTTATTTTTTAGATTTTAAATTTTTGGATCAATTTATAATTAATTTATAAAATGGTACTTATAACTCTTATTGTAGGAGTTGAATTTTGTTATTTTGTTAATAAAAATTGAGAACTGGATTGATGCTGGAGAAAGATTCAGGGTTAAGTTGGATTGAGGCCAAGAACAACATTCATGTGTTCTCTTCCGGAGATCAATCACACCGTAAGGCTGATGAGGTGTTGGCTGAACTGCAGAGGCTAAAAAGAAATATGATTAGAACAGAAAATGATAGCAGTGAGGCACAAATACAGGCTGCATAAATTGCAGAGGCTAAGCTTATGCTCTAGAGGTGGAATTTAATTCAAAGACAAGTGAAATATATAGAGAAACTGTTTAGAGGAAATAGATAAGGATTGAATTTTTATCAATAGAGATAGTGGGTTGTAATTTACCATCTTCACTTTGTATTCTGAAAGTTTTGTAACATTCTTTTCTATATCAAAATATTTGTTAAATGTACTAATGCAATAATATATTTGTAAATTAAATTAATATTCTTAAATAATTATAAATTTTTTCTCTTCGCTTCTATTTCTGCTCCTTTTCTTTTGTAATTTTACACTCATCTGAATGTGCCATTTGTGGTACTTCTGGTGTTAAAATTACTATGCATGGTTACTATTTTATCACCTCATACGATCTAACAAATAACTAGTGAAGCGTGTTTATTTCTCTTCAAGTGTACCATAAAGAAGAAATTAAAGTGATAGACTGATATTCAATCTCATTTTCATTGATCTTTTTTATTTGTATTTTTTTATTTTTAATAAATCGATTATGGAAGATTTGCATTGACGACCAAAGAAGAGTTTTCTCATCGAATAGGGTGTAGACATCAGTAAAAATCAACAAAATTTGAAATACTTGAGAAGGTTTCAATCAAGCAGTAAATAGTCAATCATATGATGTCCCTTTTAGTGTTCAACTTCAATTCAGGATTGCCCTCAACTTATGTTTGGATATTTTGTGGAGGACAAAATAAGATGATTCATTATAGAAGGAAATTGACAACAGAGAGGAGGGAGAAGAAACCAGTGTTATTAAACCCGACCCGAATATCGACCCAGTCGAGGTACTGAATCACTGGTCGGACCGGTTGATCCGGATATATATATATATAGGATGAGTAGTTTTACTTCTCTTCTTTTACTAATTCAAACGTCACACTAGTCTAAGTTAAAAAATATGTTAGTTCTAGTACAATACTTTAGTTTAATACTTACTTACTGTAAGTGATAAATTGATTTAATTATACTAGAATATATATTTCAATTTTTTTCCATGGTTATATTTATACACTTATCATTTGTATATTGCATTTTTCTTACATATTATTTATACACTATATCTGTATATATGATAATGGACTGGTGGCCTAAGGTTGCTCTTGTGACCTTCTGGTCACAGGTTCAATTCCGAAAAGCAATTTTGTTGTAAAAATACAAGGGTAAAGTTGAATAATCGACCCTCATCTTTATCCTGCAAGTCAAGAAGCCATGTGCACCAGAATTTGCCCTATATGTATATATGATAATGAAACCCTATTTCAAGTTGAACCTCAAAACCTTAACCATTTTCCATTACCGATTCAATAACTGGTGTGATTTTGAAAACATTCATTCAAACAACCTAATTGCGAACAAACAAACAAACAAAAAATTTCACCAGAACTGTGCTCTCCCAATTATTTAATAATTTAACCATAAGCATACAATTGTTTTATGGGAAAATATTTTCTCATGTCGTAGAAGAGTTGTTTTCTTCTACTAGTGACTTTTCGATCTTCGTGCAATATTTTTTTTGTTTTTTTATTTTTTTAATAGATGTTGGCCTCACACAAGATATGTCTACAGCATGAGAAAATTTTCTCTTATTTCATTGCATACAATAAAATTTTAGAAAATAACCCAAAACAGGAACAAGAAAATCTTTATGCTTCAACTATCATCACAACCAGTATTGGGAACATTTAAACCTATTCCAAATCCCTTCATGCTGGCAGTACAATCCACAAGACACAAGCTTAAACATCCAAATATTCCAATAATTTGGTTTACATTTAATTGTAGGATGGACTGTAAGTAATTCCTTTGTAATTTCCAAATATGGGGCAGCTAGTGCTTATTAAGTTAATGTTATATATTCAGTTCTAGGGATATTTTAGTAATTTTCCATAAGGATCTTGAAATCCAATATATAGTTTTGTCTATCTATGTGCTTTCCAAAGTTACAATTATCTATTGGGCTTTTATTCATGCTTATAGGAAGCTGATTATTTGACTTGGGCCTTAAGTTGCGGACTACTTGGTCCACAAGTTTAAGTAGCCCTATACAAGTGATATAACCAACTATACCAAATATATAACAAAAAATAAAGAGATTATTTAAATGGGTCTCTCTCTTAGATGTGATGCCTAAGTTAATTTCTTCTACAATCCTAATTCTCCCTTACAAGTGAAAAGATCCCATTCATTTCGCAAAAAGCATTAAGTATTCACCTTATCAAATCCCTAATAATCCCTTGTTTGAATATTCCCTAAACTCCAAAAAATTCCATTTCCTAATCTTGAAGGTTAAACCCTTACTCTTTTTACTTGCAAACCAGCCCTCAAAAGGAAACTGTGATTTCCATATCAATCTTTTATCTAAAACAACTACATAGTTTGTTACATTTTATTATTTCATTAATCTTACAATTAAATTAAAAGATTTTATCAATTTTCAAAATCTTAATCAAAATATATGTGGGACCAATCTCGTATTTAGATAATGTACTATTTGTGCATTTGTAGGGTTTTTTTTTTTTTGGTAAACCATTTGTAGGGTTTTTTAAGACTTAAAAAAGTCAAAACATATATACAAAAAAAAAAAGGTCACAACATAGTGGGATAGTCATAAATCATAATAAACAGTGTTAGCGTGTACGGCAATGTGTTTTGACGTGTATAAGGCGTGCTCTATTAGTCTAGGCCTATATGCAAACTAAGGTTGATATCATGATCGCATAAATCATTGAATCGGGTTCAACAAAGTACATTTTTAAGCATTTTTAGTGTTTGTCTTCAAACTATAATTTTGATATTCTAATAGAAAAATCAATTATTTGAGTGGGAGGGATAAGTTACCTGGCAACAGAGAGGAGATTCTCAGCTTGTGATTAATTAATCCGCATCAACCATTGCAATAATTTCAGAGGAAACGTGGGGTGGGGAACTATCATCAATAAATTAAAGTAAATTAAGTTCATATACATGGGAGAATATATGTAAATATAATGTATTAAAGTTTTGAATTGAGATATGATGTCGGACTCATTTGTTATGATTTTAATGGTGATCTCCCATTATGAGCTCCTCCTTGATCTGTCCGACAGTGTTATCGGTGCTGGATTAGACTTGCGCTAGCCAGATATTTGAATAGTGGCAGATTAATTAAGTATTTTGGACCTAAGTACTGGTAGAGAGGATAACATATTAATATGGAATTTTAAAATTGAGAGAGAGAACTCACTATGGATGGTATCCCCCCACCCCCGTAGGTTCCATGTCCTAACAAATACATTTCATGCAATGCCAAATTCAACTTTGTATCTTTCTATATATAGAGAATAAGAAAGAGCAAAGCACAACACAAGCATAATAATGGCTGAAGAAAATATCGACCCAAAGCATTTTGTTCTGGTGCATGGTGTTTGCCATGGCGCCTGGTGTTGGTATAAGCTTAAACCACTATTGGAGTCTTCTGGCCACGAGGTCACAGCTATCAACCTTGCAGCTTCTGGCATCAACACAAATAAAATTGAAGACGTTCATACGTTTTCTGAGTATTCTAAGCCTTTGTTGGATTTCTTGACTTCGCTTGCTCCAAATGAAAAGGTGGTTCTTGTGGGACATAGTTTTGGAGGGTTGAGTATAGCACTTGCTATGGACAATTTTCCAGAAAAAATACAAATGGGAGTTTTTTTAACAGCTCATATGCCTGATACCCAACACAAACCATCATATGTATCAGAACAGGTATTTTTCTGCGAAAGGCGAACACTTTCCCTTGCTAGATACTTCTTATAGTTACTATCATTTAATTTGTCAATACTCGAATATGAGAATATTGCTTAAATTTGTCAAATGAGAACACTTTTGTCCCAATAAAAATCAATAATTAATACATTTCCTTGGTCTTAATGTTCGTTACTAATCTACTTGACCTTTTGATATGGATAGTTCATTGAGAGATACCCAGTTAAGGAATGGTTAGACTGTGAGCTCTCATCCCGTGGAAGCAAAACGTCATTGCTTTTTGGTCATAAGTTCTTGTCCACTAAGCTCTATCAACTCTGCTCCACCGAGGTATTCCTAGTTTCTTCTCTCAGCAATCTCATTTCACTCTTCAAGAAATATAATAGGGATAGGTTATACTTACTACCTACTTTTCTTACTATCTCTTACTACCAAATCTTAACCGTTGATTTCCGTCAATCTAATGGTTATAATTTATTGTAAATTAATAATTAATTAATAAATATGACCCCATAAATTATAACCGTTAGATTGACGGAAATCAACGGTTAAGATTTGGTAGTAAGAGGTTGTAAGAAAAATAGGTAGTAAGTATAACCTTTCCCAATATAATATATGATATTGTATTAAATTGATTCTTTACATGATATTAAAGTCTTTGTGATTAAATGATCACAAATTTCATGTTATTATATTAATATATAATAAATATTATATAATTTCTTAAAATTAATGAATAAATTTATGCATTATCCATTCTTTAAATTTCATGTTATTACACCCACAAATGCTTGTAGCCCATTCAAAATCTTTTTGGCGGCTTGGATTTTGCAGGATTTGGAATTGGCCAAGACTTTAATAATGCCAGGGTTACTTTTTTCTGAAGAGTTGTATAAGGCAAAGAATTTCTCTAAAGAGGGATATGGGTCTGTTCCACGTGCTTTTATTGTTTGCAATGAGGACTTAGTATATCCATTGGAGTTTCAGCAATGGATGATCCAAAATGCTGGGATTGATGTGGTGCGAGAGATCAAAGAAGCAGATCATATGGCTATGCTTTCCAAACCCCAAGAACTGTGTTCATCTCTCCTCGAATTAGCTAATAAGCATGGATAACTAAATGCAGTGATTCACTTTTGTCTGATGCATATAAGAATGGATTATAAATATTCATGTGTGCTTACGTGTGTCATTTTGAGCTTTTTAGATTTATTTTATAGTTTAGGATTTTTTAATAATTATTTGTTATGTCTTTGATTCTATTTTGGTTTTATTTTCATTTTATTTTGCTTCACCTATTTAAGGCATAGAGAACTCTATTTTTATTTGATTATTTTTGGTTAAATAAAATTCAGAAAAGAGAAATAATTTTTTCTCGCTATTCTTGCGTTTAGTTTTTCTTTCTGTTTAACCAATGGGGTATTGCTTTGGCATCATTTGGTATCAGAGCACTAGGTTGCCTTCAACCAATGATTGAACAGAATTGTACGTAGAGGTCGTCGATGGCAGAGTCGTGATGGTGAGGGAGATGGATTCGTTCTTAACGAAGACAGATAACTGTGTCGGACAGACTCGCGGAAGGCTGATCCAAGATTTTAAGCTACAACTTGAGCTAGTATTGGACAAGAAAATTCAAGTTTTGAAACAACTATTTGTGCAAGCGCAGAGCAAGAAAATCCAAAATTTTGAACGACAACTCGTTCGGGCATATAGCGAGAAAATCCAAGTTTTTGAGCGACAACTTGTAGAAGCGTAGAGCATGAAAATCCAATATCTGGGACTACGATTTGCGAGATCAAAATTGGCATTCAATCCGAAGAAGGAATGAAATTAGAGGACGAATCTGAAGACGAAGAGGAGAACGTTAATCCTTTGGGAATTCTAAACTAGGGACGAAATTGGGGAGTCAACCTGCAAATCAGTCCATCTTTCAAGATATTTAGATGCAGCTTAACATTACTAACTTTGAAGTTTATGATTATAATCCTGTTTATGATGATTATCCAATCTATGATGATAATTCAATTTATGATGATTATCCAATTTACGGTAATTATCTAACATACGCTGAAAATTCAGTTTATAAAGATCATCCAGTCTATGATGATCATTCTGATCGAGAATCAGATGATGAGGATCTAATAAAGGAAGAATTATCATTTGAGTTTGTATCTAAAGAGACCGAGATCAATGAAGAGAAAGAAGATCCGAGGATAGATCTTTTCCTAGCATGCACATGACTCAACCATTGATTCAAGAAGTTCAGGATAAACCAGAAATGTGGCCCAATTATTAAAAGAAGCAATAATTTAAAATATAACAAGTTACGATCAAAATCAAGTTCAAATAAAGCAACAAATATGATTGTGATTTGTTTGACAAGAAAGAAAATCAACAAATTTGTCAAGATTTGAGATCTACGACTTGGGGCGTGTTTTGAATGATAGAATTATAATTGTTTATTTATTTTTAGAAGTTAATTATCTTTATGTTTATTTTTAGGAATTTTCTTTATTTTTTAGATTTTAAATTTTAAATTTTTCGAGCAATTTATAATTAATTTATAACATGGTGCTTATAACCCTTGTCAAAAGAGTTGAATTTTGTTATTTTGTTAATAAAAATTGAGAATCAGAGGATTATTTTTTTTATGAAATTGTAACTTTCTGTTTAGTCACTTTTTCTGTGCATTTTCAGCATCATTACCATGGTAGTTAAAATCTCTATTTATCAGTACGTTTTTAGGATTTTTTTTCATTAAAATATTTTTATCAATATTCCAAACGTTTTTACAATTTTTTATGCCCCTTCTATATTTACATAAAATATCATTTTTAACTACCTTGATCATTACCATTGCCTTGTTCTTTTTTATTTTATTTTATTTTTGGAATTTTGACCATTATGTTATATGATATCGTGGCCTCGTGGGTTAGAATAATACAATATAATAATCTAATAAACTTTTGACTAGGGTGAGGTAGGTCTTATTTTAAACTGCAGGTTTGATCTATTTCTCAAACATAAAATTTGAATTAATTATTTTATTTATTTGATATAGACTACAGTCTCACTTTTTTAAATCTTTAAAACAAACTTAAGATTTTAAATATATTAAAAAATATATAATTTTAAGATAGTGTAATAATAATAATAATAGCATTGTTATTATATATATTCATATTTACTTAAATAGACTGGCTCGTCAAGCTTAAATTGCCTTTTTGATAACTTAAAGTATAGCTTTATAATTATATAAACTTTAAAATAAATCTTAACCCAACTTATGTAAAAATTAAGCTAAAATTTGTAAATATTTAAAAACAGTTGTTAGCTAAATTAAAATGGTGGAGGTCATTCAATTATTATTTAAGAGTTAATAAGAATTCAAATTCATTCAGGTAAATGAATCCTGACTTTCTAGTAATCGCTTCATTCTTTCTTATCTGTCTTTTAATGTTGATGTCCAAAAGCTTACAAAGTTGTTATTAAAGTGATTAATGTTTATCATATTGCTGGAGATAATTTTATCTCTTATATATATATAATTTATAAAAACAAATGTACCACACACATTTTTTATGTGGGTAGAAAATAAAAATAATTATCTCCTATACATAATAAACTCCAAATCCAATTATTAAATAGGGTCAATTATAAGAAAAATAAGTTCATCTAACTGGAGTATGCGTCATTGAAAAAAAAATATTATTGTTGTTCTACGTATTTTCTCTATCACTTATCGATATCTAAGGCAAAAAAATTTCCGGGGGGGACGAATGCCTCATTAATATTTCAAAGAGACAGAAAATAAGGAGCAAAACGGCATTCATTACAACAAGGGGTACATTTTTTTTTTTTTTGATAACATAACAAGGGGTACATTACATACATGAACAAGGTATGTTATTGTGTAGCAGAGGCTCATGTTCTGTCTCTGTTGCAAAAATGCAGCACCCTAACCTCACTGCGAGAGGCGCGTCAACTCCACGCCCTCATATTAACTACTACCACCTCCTTCGGCTCCCATTCTCCCTTTGTGTACAACAACATCCTCTCCATGTATGCACGTTGTGGTTCACTCAGGGACTCCCACCTTGTGTTTGACAAAATGCCTCATAGAACTCTTGTTTCTTACAATGCGCTCCTTGCAGCCTATTCTCGAGTATCACACCATGCCATTTCAGCCCTAAAACTGTATACCCAGATGGAAGCTAGAGGTCTTATGCCCTCCAGCATGACTTTTACTAGCTTACTGCAAGCATCTTCCTTGCTTGAAGATTGGTGGATTGGATCTTCACTTCACGCCAAGGGCTTGAAGTTGGATTGTTTGAATGATGTTTGTGTCCAAACTTCTTTGCTTAATATGTATTCTAATTGCAGGGATTTGAGTTCTGCTGAATTGGTTTTTCGGGATATGCCTGATAGAGATGATGTTGCTTGGAATTCTTTGATTGTAGGATATCTGAAGAATAATGAGATCAAGGAAGGTGTTGGTCTCTTTATTGCAATGGTGAGGTTTGGTTTTACCCCAACCCAATTCACGTATTGTATGGTTTTGAATGCTTGTAGTCGTCTGAAAGATCATCATTCTGGGAGATTGATTCATGCTCATGTAATTGTTAGGAATGTGTCACCCGATTTGCATCTGCAAAATGCTCTGCTTGACATGTACTGCAATGTTGGCAATACACAAACAGCATATAGGATTTTTAGTGGAATGGAAAACCCGGATTTAGTTTCTTGGAACTCGATGATTGCTGGGTATTCTGAGAATGAGGATGGAGAGAAGGCCATGAATTTGTTTGTCCAGCTACAGGAATTGTGTTTTCCTAAACCAGATGACTATACTTATGCTGGCACTATATCTGCAACGGGTGCATTCCCATCTTCCAGTTATGGAAAACCTCTTCATGCGCAGGTAACTAAAGCGGGATTTGAGAGAAGTGTGTTTGTAGGAAGTACTCTAGTGTCTATGTATTTCAAAAATCATGAAACTCAAGCCGCTCAGAGAGTATTTGATTCAATCTCAGCAAAGGATGTTATTCTCTGGACTGAAATGATCACTGGTTATTGTAAAATGACTGATGGAATGAATGCAATTAGATGCTTTTATGAAATGTTTCATGAAGCCCATGAGGTCGATGACTATGTTCTCAGTGGAGTTTTGGGTGCATGTGCTGACCTTGCAATTCTAAGACAAGGTGAAATAATTCATTGTTACGCTGTTAAATTGGGTTATGATGTTGAAATGTCTGTTTCTGGGAGTCTAATTGATATGTATGCCAAAAACGGTAGCCTCGAAGCTGCATATTTGGTATTTTCTCAAGTTTCAGACCCAGATTTGAAGTGCTGGAACTCAATGCTTGGAGGATATAGTCACCACGGAATGGTGGAGGAGGCATTGAAACTTTTCGAGGAGATTCTTGAACAAGGTCTGGTTCCAGATCAAGTGACATTCTTGTCTCTATTGTCTACTTGCAGCCACAATAGGTTGGTTGAGCAAGGAAAATTCCTCTGGAATTATATGAACTTAATTGGTTTGGTTCCTGGACCTAAGCACTACTCTTGCATGGTAACTTTGTTGAGTCGGGCAGCATTACTGGAAGAGGCAGAAGAAATTATCAAGAAATCTCCTTATATTGAGGATAATTTAGAACTGTGGAGAACTTTGCTAAGTGCCTGTGTCATAAATAAAAATTTGAATGTGGGAGTTCATGCAGCAGAGGAAGTTTTGAGATTGGATGCAAAAGATGGTCCAACGCTTGTTTTGCTTTCTAATCTATACGCTGCTTCAGGGAAATGGGATAAAGTTGCAGAAATAAGAAGAAATATGAGGGGATTGATGCTGGAGAAAGATCCAGGGTTAAGTTGGATTGAGGCCAAGAACAACATTCATGTGTTCTCTTCCGGAGATCAATCACACCGTAAGGCTGATGAGGTGCTGGCTGAACTGCAGAGGCTAAAAAGAAATATGATTAGAACAGAAAACGATAGCAGTGAGGCACAAATACAGGCTGCATAAGGCTAAGCTTATGCTCTAGAGGTGGAATTTAATTCAAAGACAAGTGAAATATATAGAGAAACTGTTCACAGGAAATAGATAAGGATTGAATTTTTATCAATAGAGATAGTGGGTTGTAATTTACCATCTTCACTTTGTATTCTGAAAGTTTTGTAACATTCTTTTCTATATCAAAATATTTGTTAAATGTACTAATGCAATAATATATTTGTAAATTAAATTAATATTCTTAAATAATTATAAAAATATTTTTCTCTTGACTTCTATTTCTGCTCCTTTTCTTTTGTAATTTTACACACGTCTGAATGTGCCATTTGTGGTACTTCTGGTGTTAAAAAAATTATGCATGGTTACTATTTTATCACCTCATACGATCTAACAAATAACTAGTGAAGCGTGTTTATTTCTCTTCAAGTGTACCATAAATAAGAAATTAAAGTGATAGACTGATATTCAATCTCATTTTCATTGATTTTTTTATTTGTATTTTTTTATTTTTAATAAATCGATTATGGAAGATTTGCATTGACGACCAAAGAAGAGTTTTCTCATCGAATAGGGTGTAGACATCAGTAAAAATCAACAAAATTTGAAATACTTGAGAAGGTTTCAATCAAGCAGTAAATAGTCAATCATATGATGTCCCTTTTAGTGTTCAACTTCAATTCAGGATTGCCCTCAACTTATGTTTGGATATTTTGTGGAGGACAAAATAAGATGATTCATTATAGAAGGAAATTAACAACAGCGAGGAGGGGGATGAAACAAATGAAGAAAAGGACGAATGGTCAAATTCAAATTCAAAAGAAATTGAGATTCCATTGTGTTCCTAATATTGCTGCACTCATTTTTTTTCTTATTGTCGGGTACAATAGCACTTTGACCTTTTATCCAATCGGTTACACCCTCTATTTGGAAAGATTAAAAAAAAAAAAAACAAGAAGAAGAAAGATGAGAAATTGAAAGGCACTTCTGCTTTATGGATGTTATGTCCCTGCGTCAACTTCACCTAATTAATTTAAGTAGTAGTTACAGTTACCTCAAACGAAGTTAACCTTATTATATTAACACCTTTGGTGAAATATTATATACCTACTTTACGCCTAATTAATTTAAGTAGTCGTTAGTAAGCTTGAGACATTAAATATCCAAAAATCACTTTAAATAATAATCTGAGTCGAGAAAAAATAATTAAAAGCTCCCGGCCCATATAATTTTTTCATGTTCCCACTCACAATAAAAAAAAAAATTGACCATCTTATCCTTGCTTTTTCTTTGATTTTATCTTTTTATCCCCTACGTGTGAAAGAGAGCACCTACAAATTCTATAAACTTGAACCATAGAAATACTTCTCCTAAGTCGAGTTAGGTAAACCCGCCAAGAGTCAATCTTTTCCATTCTACATAAGTCTCGATAAATATATATAAAAAAAAAGGAATATGATTTTCTAAACAAGATAAATGTAAATTTAATAAGCACTAATGTTAGGGAAAATCAATGTAATTATTCCTTTATTTGAACATCGAAACATTGGCAATCAAATCCCATACTTCCTTTCCTCGTATATCCCATCCCAATTGGTCCCATCTCCAAAGTCAAACTCTATCTCAATGGAACAAACGGAGATTTGAGTGAAAATCGTCAAATTAAAAAAGAAATATTAAAGATCAGTTACTCCACGTTTAAAATATATCAATAAAATGTATCCAAACAATTTACCAAGAAAAAAAAAATGTATCCAAACAACCGCCTAGCAACTTTGTATCTTTTACAATAGTAAACGATGAATCAGGCCCAAACCGGAACCGGGAAAGAAGCTAGCTACAATGTATCATGAAATAAGCTAGACAGGCTAATTACACCACTCTCCGTTAAACCTTGACTAACGAAGATTATGTGAAAGCAATTTTTATACGCAACATTACCCTTACATAATTGCAGAAAGGTTATTTCCTTGATTCGAACCCATGACATTTCAATCACAATGGCACAGTTTTACCACTGCTCCAATCTTGCTCTCTTCTAAACAGACTAGCTACAATTCATGAAAATTTCGCATTCAAAATCATCTAACCTATATTAATCTACAATGATAAAGAAAATGGGTCCAATAGTAACTCATAGAATGCCAAATGAAACAACTCCATGGATTGAACCCTGATGTCAACATGTATCCGTGCCTTCAAATCAGCATCCACGTTCCAAGACTCATCAGATTCATAGCAAAAACCAATCCTAAGACCATCTAACAAGGAAAAACCAATATTTCAAGTGGAGCATTGTATGTTTGTTCGGTTGCAGAAAAGGATCCCATCAACTCTATGATTTCAGATCGCTTTTATTACCGTCGGGCAGTTCTGGATTTTGGCCGTGGATTTTTCTGCAAGAACATCATAGAAAAGAAGGCTTAGAAGATCCAATCATGCAAACCATAAAAGAAATCACAAAACTAGCAGATCACAATGCTTAATTTTATCAAGGCTGACGTGACAAAGTATACTAGGATTCTGTTAATTTATTGACAGAAATAGTCTATAAATGAGCCAGAAAGGCAAGTTTACTTACTGATCCATGCCCAAAGCTTGCCCCTGATCCTGTTGCAGCACCTGAGTAAAAAAGTGAAGATCGAAATAAGAAAGATGAACAAAATCCCACCCACCCCACCTCCCTTTTTTTCTTTACTCCAAATAATGAAAGAAAGGAGGAAAATCACAGAAATTGACAAAGTCATGGCCTAAATGTCTAATGGTACTCGAAGCCATCCTGTTTCTTTTATTTCTCTCTCTCACAGTCAAGTTCAATAATATTATATTCGATGATTTCAACCAGGTTTTCAGACACGGACTGGACCATCTGGTCATACTGGAAAAACCGGGAATCAGCCCTCCGGCTGGTCAAAAAAGATCCTAAAAAACCATGTTTTCCAAAACCAACGTTTAAACCAGAATACCAGTATCGGACATATCAATCCATGTAATAGTTCACATGATTGAACCAATTCTTTAAAAAAAAAAAAATTATTAATTTTATTATTAAAAACAATTTAAAAGTTTTCACTACACTGATTATTTGGTTCCCTATTTAGAACCCAAACTCCGTCTCACTCCTATTGATACGTCCCAATATAAGACAAATACAAGCTTGGCTTCAGTTTATAATGGAAATCTTCAACTTTTTTTATACATATTTGATATGAGACTAATATAGGATGAGAAGTTTTACTTCTCTTCTTTTACTAATTCAAACATCAGACTAGTCTAAGTTAAAAAATATGTTAGTTCTAGTACAATACTTTAGTTTAATACTTACTATAAGTGATAAATTGATTTAATTATACTAGAATATATATTTCAACCTTTTTTTTTCCATGGTTATATTTATACACTTATCATTTGTATATTGCATTTTTCTTACATATTATTTATACACTATATCTGTATATATGATAATGGACAGCGAGCCTAAGGTTGCTCTTGTGACCGGAAGGTCACGGGTTCAAGTCCGAAAAACAACTTCGTTGCAAAAATACAAGGGTAAAGTTGAGTACAATCGACCCTCACCCCTACCTTGCAAGTCAAGGAGCCATGTGCACCAGAATTTGCCCTATATGTATATATGATAATGAAACCCTGGTTCAAGTTGAACCTTAACCATTTCCCATTACCGATTCAATAACCGGTCTGATTTTGAAAACATTCATTCAAACAACCTAATTGCAAACAAACAAACAAACAAACAAAAACTTCACCAGAACTGGTGCTCTCCCAATTATTTAATAATTTAAACATAAGCATACAATTGTTCCATTGCATACAATAAAATTTTAGAAAATAACCCAAAACAGGAACAAGAAAATCTTTCTGCTTCAACTATCATGACAACCAGTATTGGGAACATTTAAACCTATCCAAATCCCTTCATGCTGGCAGTACAATCCACAAGACACAAGCTTAAACATCCAAATATTCCAATAATTTGGTTTACATTTAATTGTAGGATGGACTGTAAGTAATTCCCTTGTAATTTCCAAATATGGGGCAGCTAGTGCTTATTAAGTTAATATTATATATTCAGTCCTGGGGATATTTTAGTAATTTTCCATAAGGATCATGAAATCCAATATATAGTTCCAACTTCCATCTATCTATGTGCTTTCCAAAGTTACAATTATCTATTGGGCTTTTATTCATGCTTATAGGAAGCTGATTATTTGACTTGGGCCTTAAGTTGCGGACTACTTGGTCCACAAGTTTAAATAGCCCTATACAAGTGGTATAACCAACTACACAAAATATATAACAAAAAATAAAGAGATTATTTAAATGGGTCTCTCTCTTAGAAAAGTTAATTTCTTCTACAATCCTAATTCTCCCTTACAAGTGAAAAGATCCCATTCATTTCGCAAAAAGCATTAAATATTCACCTTATCAAATCCCTAAAAATCCCTTGTTTGAAATTCCCTAAACTCCAAAAAATTCCAATTCCTAATCTTGAAGGTTAAACCCTTGCTCTTTTTACTTGCAAACCAGCCTTGCCCCAAAATATCATGTACAAGCCTTCAATTCCCCTAATTTATTCCCTTAATTCTCCCAAGAAAACCCTAACTTTGATCGTTTAATTCCTATGTCTTCTGTTGTCGTGAATCAGCCCTCAAAAGAAAACTGTGATTTCCATATCAATCTTTTATCTAAAACAACTACATAGTTTGTTAACACTTGAAAGTAAGATAACTAAGAACTATAATCAAAGAGAGTACCTGAAACAAATGGAGTTGAAAAGAGTGAACCTGCAGCCGGAGTTGTACTAAACAATGGAGCAGTATTACTAAACAGAGAGGGAGTTGATGCAGGACCAGGTAAGGATGATGATGAAGGACCAAAAAGTGAGGTTTGAGGTGTAGCAGTAGATGATCCAAACCAAGATGATCCTGGAGCAGGAGTTATTGGTGTTGTAAACAAAGAAGATGGCATAGAAGATGATGGAGCAGAAGAAGGCGTGCTAAAAAGAGAGAAACCACTTCCTGATGACAAAGATGAAGTTGCTGCAGATGTCTGCGGGGCAATCAACGCCCCTTGAGTTACTGAACTGGAAAACAAACCAGCAACTTGAGTTAAGGGTTGTGAATTTGCAGGTAAATGCAACGTTGGATGAACTCTTTTTGAAGCAGCTTCTTGTCTTGCAGTTTCTCGCCGATCAGCTTCTAGAAATGGATCATTCACCTCCCCCCGGCGGCGCTGATCAGCTAGGTATGCTGATTTCATAGATTCAATGTACTGATGAATGCTCTCCACCTGAATAGGCATTTAAAAACCAGATATTATTACTGTAAACGAGAATTGGCAAATATTATACAGCACAATTTTATATCTGCATGAGAACTTATTTTGAGCAAAGCTGCAACCACACTTGTATGATGTATCATCATCTCAAATACACCAAGTATTGTCCTTTGTTCATTACAATAAGCAGGAAACCGAGCATGGTGCTAACTATAGCATTTCCATAAGAAGAATAGACAAAGAATCCAAATTTAAAGTAGCATAGACACATAAATAAGGGGGAGGTGAATGAACTACATAATGGACTCCATATAAACAAAAAAAGCTTATAATTTGACACAAACTAACAACATCAACATCAACAACACCTTTATCCCAAACAATTTGACACAAACTAACAGCAAAAAAAAATAGTTGAGTTATATTAGAATATGATAAAAACAAAGGAAAGGGACGAGAAAAAAGTATTAAGAGACCTACATCATAAAATTTCAATGTCATATTCTGAACAATACCTATGAATAGGAAAAGTTTAATTCGCTACAACGTGCATAAACTCATAGCTGTATGGTGTGACATCAGTTAAAAAAGCTATAACTTTTTCTCTTTACCTTTGCAGCCACGTGAACAAAAAAGTCATGCACATTTGTCATGACTTTGGGAAGGGATTGCAATAACGAGGATCCATTACTGGAAGTATTTCTCTCACTGTCAAAGAGAAGCAGCTGTTCCAACTCCTCAATCCATTGATGGCATTCACCAAGATACTTCTCAAATCTTAAAACTGTTTGCTGAAAAAAGGGTGATGGTTTCTTTGGAAGACCGCTATAGAAATCAAAAACAGGCACTATAGATGTACCCATTGGTTGGCTACTCGAACTAGGTGTTAAATTTGCCCCAGGAGTCTGTGATGGGGCAGTGGCACTTGATGCACCCCCACTGGGATGAAGGAATCTTGGACGTAGCATCATAAAGGAACGAACTGCAACCTCTGTGTTGTGTAACATATCCTTAACAACGGACATCAGTTCCTGCAGCAAAGTTTTCTGTCGTTCCATAGCAGTGCTAATTCCACCAAGTTCCTATCAAACATCAGAAGAAAATAACTATTGTTTCATAAATAGATCAATTAAGCACGATGCTGAGAGAGAATGGAGCAGTTAACCATGTCAACATTAGAAATAATTCATTCAAAAAAACTACTGCTTAACAATACATGAAAAGCAGACAGGAATAGAACAATGGATTGCAAACCTTACCACATCATAAATAACCATCATGCTTTAACATCTCTAAAAAGTAGATTTGTAGGTTTCCACAAAAATTTCACAAGAGTTGGATTGTCTGCTTAATCTTAAATAACCCATTTATGAAGGTTAATAACCATATACTACCTTTAGGTGACAACAAAATACAACCAAGCACAGATTCTTTATTAATAAGGTCATAGGCCCTGCCTAAATGAACTAATTAAATTTGATATGCTTCCTTTATAGAGGAACAGCGCAAACCATGCAAGTCAAGTGTCAACTATCAACTAGTTTTGTTCCAACTTCTTTCCCACTTTACAATGTAAACAACAAATAATATACATTTAAATTTCTTATAGAAGTCAGCTAACGATGGTAATATTTGCTCTTTTAACAGAGCAGCAATAGAAATGGCCAGCATTCAGCTCTTGTTTAAAACTGGCAAATCTATAATCCAACTTATGTTTTGCTGCATGCAAAATTCTAGTGACAACAGAGACTCTGTTAATTGTCAGCAGAACACCTCCGGCATGTAAATTACAACAAAATTAGACATGAAATTAAATATGCCTCAAGTAGAAAACGTTAATCTATACTCTCTTTTTTTCTCTTTTTTGGGAAGGAGGAGACTGCTTTTTATTACAGTTCTAATATCCAAAAAAAAAAAAAAAAATTACTATCATATTTCTGATTTATAACAAGAATGGAATAGATAAATAACCAACAACGTGAAGGCAACAACAACCAAAAATATCACAAAGAGAGCACCTGAACAATATGGCTAGCATCAAGCTCAAATCCATCGTTCGAAACTGAAGAATCATACAGACGATTACTCTGATCTAGTCTCTGACTTTCGTCCCTATACTCCAATATCCGCCCCCTAAGTAACAGATAGCAGTTAAGCAACTAAAAATTCAAACAAGGACCACATAATAACCAAGAAATACAAACCCTCCTCTCTCAATTTTTGCAGAAACATTGAGGAGTGAGGGGAAATTAGAACATACTCGATAAGAAGGAGAAGCTTCTGGGAATCAGGATGTAGATCCGCCCAATTGGTACTATAACTAGCGGGAGTTCTATCGTTAGTGTACAAGAACAGCTGCGGTTGCTGCTGCTGCTGTTGTTGCTGTTGCTGTTGCTGTTGTTGAGCTTGAAATTGTTGTTGTTGTTGTTGTTGTTGCTGCTGCTGCTGCTGCTGCTGTTGAAGGAACAAACTACTCTGCTGGAAAGGAGACTGCTGCTGTGGTTGAAACAGTTGCTGTTGCGGTTGCTGTTGCTGTTGCTGCGGCGTGGAGAATAACGAAAATGACATTGTCGTATCAGCTATCAGATTGAAGAAAACCCCGTGTTAAACCCTAGGCGAAGAGAGAAGAAAGAGAGAGAACACACGCACGCGCATTGCTCTGGGAATTTTGGGGGGAATCTTCTTCACTGAATTCTTCTTATCAAACTTTCAATTTCAGAGTTGGGATTGAGCATCTTTCTCAATTATCATTGTCAAATCCCGCGTCCAGAACCCATACCCGGCCAACTTCAAGAGATAATGGACTTCAATGCAATCATGGCCTATTAACTCAATCTTGTTGGCCCTGGCCCATGTAAACCATAATTTTCAAATGAAACATATGCAACTTTCTTATGTTTGGATTGGGGAATGCAATGGGATAAAGGGCAGTTTGGATAAGCTTTTTTTCTACCAAAAGTTGCTTTCTTGAAAAAAATCACTTTTTATTTTTAATTCGTTTGTATGTTCGCTTTTAAAAAAAACACAAGTCATAAAAAAAAGTCAAAAATCTACTTTTTTTCATAAGCTAAAAATTTTAACTTCTAAAAAAAGCAGAAGTCAAAAGTCAAATATTTTTAAAAAATATAAATAGGTTTATCTTTTGTAAAAAAACATTTCTAAAATAAGGAAGAGATAAAAGTTACTTTTTTGATAAGGTGAAACAAACGGGCTTAAAGTCATATCTTCCTCTAAGAACGAAAATAGGTAAGGTTATGATATATTTAATCTAAGAGGCAAGGTCATTTTATATCAATATAAATTAAATTCTTAATTTCAGTCATTAATTGTAATTATATTTAATAATTTTAATTTATTAAATATATGAGTTATTAAATGCAAGCACAATATCAGTCTCAGCATAATATTAATTATTATTATTATTGATGTTACAAGAGACGGCGATTACCAGTCAATTCAATTTAAGCTTTAAGAGAAAATAAAATTTAAATCGATCAATTTCATTTGTCTTAGGCTGGGTTTATTGTTTGGAAAAATTAATGTCAGTCCAAATTAAATCAATGTACTAATATCCTGTTTGTTTGGATCGTCATCCGGTTCAAGAATTGTTATTATTATGTTTCAATACGCATTATTTTTTTCAATTGCAAACTTTAGTTCGCTTGAACTTGATTTTCTAAATATGATTCTCTTGAAAATGTTGGGACAGCGTCCCTCAAATAGCACAAAAATAAGTCACAATCAGGCCAACCAAATCGCAAAAAAAAAAATAGAAAATGCAGAAATTGAGAGGAGAGAAAACACAGCATATTTTAATATGAAAAATCTTCTCTAATATAAAGGAGTAAAAAATATGGGACCTAATCCAGAAAATCTTCCTGCTATCATAATTGTAGGATTTTAATTGTCAAGTTTTCTTAATATCATTGGAGGTTTACACTCAAACTACACCTATAATTGTGGTTATAATATTATTCTCTAAAGATGTCATTTACTCAAATTTTTCTTTAGAAAATTCTTACATAAGTTTTTAGCTCACCTTGCACAAAAGTTTTATTTTCTTTATATAGGTAAGGTGGAACACTTCACCTCCATCTAAAATCTTCTCAAACAATGAAGGAGAAAATATTTATTGAGGTGGTTATTCGGATATTGAAACATAAACTAATAAATGTGATACATAGTCACCAAATGTTAATTGGAGAAATACAACATAACAGAAAAGTAAGTTTATAAATTATATTTACATTTAAAAAAATTATCCAAAAATGATTTTGATAAATCTATTACTCCATATAATGGTAGAATGAGAAAAGGCTTAAACTAAAAGTGGACAACAGAGTTGTAATTATGTGTATTTATTTATTTTTTGAATAAATAGATAATTGTAACTTATAAAGAATAATATATATGTTGTAATTTTTTTCTCTTATAAAATTTCCTGACCGTGCAAGTGACTCTTAAATGTGTAGTTATTGAGATTGGTATATAGATATTATTAGTGTGATAATTTGATGATAAATTATAAGGATATTTTTTCAAATATGTATTTAAGAGATAGGATATTGTGTCTACTTTTTTTTTGAGTTGGATCTCACACGGTTGAATATGGTCTAATGGCTTGGTTAGGTCTTTGCTGGAATGAGTGTTGTAGGATAGTGTCTCCGTAGGATGCTCTGTAACTTTGTGGGCAGGATATTCAGCAAAATGTAGGATTTGCGGCAGGGCATCTTGATTGGCTAGGATGATTGAGGATATCTACAAGCCACTTTGACGCTCAAATCAATATGAGTTATGAGCTTTAGTTGATATGGGAAAAATGATCATACTTCGGCTTCGAGTCTCTATTTACGTGGTTGAGTGTCTTGCTTATGCTGCCTTAGCATGATAATCTAATTTATTCTCATTGGTATGTAGAAGTGGCTGTTGCAAACTAATCCATGTGCGAAATACTTATTTATGGACTATACCTTATAAGTGTAGTTGATACCAATGTCTGTCCCTTAGCTATTGATTATTAAGATGGCTATAGACTTCTAAACTCGTGTGTCAACGTACCAGCGTAATGACATATATATACTCAGAATGATCATGTTGGAGGAGGAGGTGGGTCGGAGGGGAAGGGTTTGGCTCGGTGAAAGGAGGAGATGGGTCGGAGGCGATCCCGCCGAGAGAGGAGAACCAAATGTTTAAGAAAGGGTATTTTTGTCCAAAAGTTTTAGAAAATTTCCCCATGGCAGGAGAATCCAAGAATTGTGGTGTTTTAGTCACAATTTCCACACAACAAAATCGTGGACAAATCACTTTGCTAGGTAATTTTCTTAAAATTTTCTACCAAACATGGACAAATTGAAATACCATCTTCACTTTTCTAAGAATTTTAAAATAAAATCTCCGCCAAATATGGACAAATTGAAATACCGTCAAGCCATCAAACTAACTGCACGCATAAGAAAGCCTTAAATGACCCGTCCAAAACGTTTCCTCTGCAAAAGTAGGCATTGGACAATTTGATGGGCTCGTATCATCTGATAATACCTTGCAGGAATAATAACAATCAATACAACAGACTGCAAAGGCTCGGGTCTAGAATATTAAAATGCTAAGCCCCTAGATGATGATGTGAAGACCATACTAGACATGCTCAGGTTGTGAGTCCCACAAATAGAACATTTCATGTAGGAAACGAATAAATCATACTCCATCCGTGAGAAAAATAGGTTGAAACGGAAAAATAATGGCAGAACGGATCATTGGTGACCAATATGTAGATTACAGATTTACAGGGCTTGAAATGACTGTATTCAAGTGGCTGTGACTATGATTGTCTGAATTATTTGAAAAAAAAAAAAAAAATCGCAAAATTCTAAGTTCCGTGTGAAATTGAACGCTACCTATTTTGATTTACAGACAAGAGAAAGAAGAATAAAATGTAATGTCGATTATCAATATACAGAACAAATGTTAGACAAATAGTACAAGCGTTTATTTACATAAATTCGTCTATAATCTAGCCATTTCAACTTTTGGAAACAAATAACCCTCCTACATATTATTAGATGATCTACTACCAAACAAGATCCCCTCTCCTTGAACTTTTTTAAGTTTGGATAAACTACTGAAGCTTGCCAATGATTAGATTAGGAAACACGTTAACTGATATATGTAAATAATTTAATTATCCAAATTAACTAAACTAATTCTATTTAATCTATGTAATTTTGACTTAAAATTAACAAGTTATATATGGAAAAAGTATTTCTCCTAACATCTCCACTAAATTTAAAATGATGTCGTTTTGAGTTATAAGATTAAAAAATTATAAATAATAAAACAGAAAAATTAATTGATCAAAGTACTTCCAAAACGACATCGTTTTGGGATTGAAATATTAAAAAATTATAATTATAAAGACTATAATAATCTTGAAATAAATTAAAATTAAAAAAATAACATGATATCCGGCCCGAAACGACATCGTATTGGGCTCACTGCGGATGACTTATCTGCAATGACCGCAGAAAAAGTGAACCCATAATATAAAATAATATAACCCTACAATATATTAAAATTACAAAAACATCTTGATTTTCGTATCAAACCGATGTCATTTTAGACTCATCGGAGATAACTTATCTCCATTAACCTGATAAATTCTTTACCCTATATATATATATATATATATATATATATATATATATATATAGGCTTAACATTTCTGCAGTTGCCGTAAATAGTGTTATCTATAGCTGACACATAAAGTGGGCCGCACGGATTTTTAAAAATAATCAAATTGCTGATAATCCTAACCTTAGATATCAATTAATTAATTTTTCCAAGCATCCAGCCCATATATATCCGTTAACAATCCGAATTGAAAGTTACTTAGCAAGTTTGAAACAGACTTGCACAAAAATAGAATAGAAACAAAGGTGTGAAGTATAAACCAAACCAAAAGAAAACAAAACAGACCATGATCTCAAAGGAGGATATTTCCCCGAAACAGCGTGAGAATAGACTGCATGGTTGCATTATACCTGTTGTTTGGTAGGAAGTAACAGGCTACGGCGGGTACATATTCTTCCTCTTAAGCATGTGGTTGAAAAGAGAAGTATGGCGTATAAACAAAACGCCAAGAGCCCAAGACAATAATTCTCTCCTTTTATTTTTAATACAGCCAGACAGACAACAACACTGATGAACTTTATTAAATAAAAGAAATACGTATTGAGTTAAAATAATATTATTATATTCATCCTCTAATTCCTTTCTGCAATAAGCAATGTCTAAAACAACAAAAGAACAAGCACTACGGGTCAGAAATTGCTGCGACTGATCTTTCTTTTCTATATGTGCGTTTCCACTTCCAGCCTTATAGCTCCATTGTCCTTGCAGGGCGGTGGCAGATTCAAATCAGGATCAAACTTTTTTCTTTTTTTTGGAAACCAAAAACGTATTAAAATAAAAACGATCAAAACACAAGTGATGTCAGTTACTAATTAATACAATCACACAGCTCAGTCACTAAACACTAAACAGCAGTAAACATAAACAGAACAAATTAAAAACAAGAGGCAAAAAAAAACAGAAGTCTTAACAATTGTTCTTCTAATTTCATAGATGATGATAATATACCATGATTCCATTAAAACACGCAGTAACCCTAGACTTAAAACCATCAGTGAGAGCAACCTCCCTTCAAGAAGAGAACCAAAACAAAAGAGGGGGAAAAAAAGGGTGGGTTCATTTGAGACCATTTCCAGGTGTTGAAATCGCTAGTCCAGGCCATGAGAAGCAGTCTCCACCTACAAACCCACCTTCGCCGTTTTCAAACTGCCATGAATTTCCGGCACCGGGAGCAGCAACACCACCGCCAATGTTACTGCCATCTGGAATTCCGGGGAAATTCCAGCCTGGTCTCCCCATTCCAAACCCCACATCTTCAAACCCAAGCCCGTGTCCGTGCCCGAGTCCAAGCCCAAACCCACCAAGAGCAAGAAAGCCAGGTCCTTGGGGGTTGTTGAGCAAGGAAGTGAAGCTCCCACACATGTTCATATTTGGCTTCATTTCACCAACACCATCAACACTGCCAGTACCGGCGAACTGCATAGACCCTCCTTGAATGGGCACTAATACTGGGGTTGCAGACAAGGGGTGATCCTGATGAGCAGCCGCCGAAGTCACGGCGGAGGAGGAGGAGATTGCAGAAACAGTACGAGAGCGTTTGGCGTTTTTGCGACTGCCACCACCGACGGGAATGTCGCGAAGGGTGCCCCCATGAGTCCAGTAACGGCGGCAAGACTTGCAGAAGTGACGTGGCTGGGAGAAATTGTAGTTGTTATAGTAGCAGAACTTGGTGTTTGTCGAATCGCATCGAGGGCATGGGAGGTGCTCTTGTTCTGGTGGCGGAGCTCCAGGGTTTTGGGTCTTGCTTGGTCGACGGTTTTCGCCGGAGTCCGACGACGGCATCTCGTTGTGAAAGGAAGCTAGCTAGCTGATAGCTGCACAGTAGTGAAGATTTTTTCTCTCTTAAATATGAACGGAGATATTTAAATAGAAGTAGAAGAGGTTCTTGTCTTCTTCAACTGTTGGAAGAAGCGAGAGTATAGGTTTTGAGCTAGTGGTGCGAATGAAGAGGAGAGGGGGGTTTTATGGGAAACGAGAGGTGTAGAGAAAGAGAGAGAGAGAGCACGAAATGGCACAGAGAGAGAGAGAGAGAGAATATCTGCGGTTGGAACAGAGACATCTTCTGAGGCTTATATGAGCCAGAGTGGATCAGCTTTACAGTATTCTGTTAAGCACGACATTTTCAGTCGGCTCCAGAACACACTCTACTTGGGTCGGCTAATAGGGCTGCGGCTTCTGCAAATTTATTTAACCCACAACAGCTCAGCTCAAAGCCTCTTCCTTCTCTCCAAATCATTTTTTCTTTTCTTTTATTTTTGCTTTTGGATCATTAGGATTATGAATAGGAGGTATAAAATGAAGTGGGGGAAAACATCAAATGGTATTCTAGTGCTTACATTACCAGTTAGATGTATTTGCCTCCGAGTCAATTATGGCATGAAAAACTCTATCCAATAAAACAAAAACAAAAAAAACGCATATTGTACGTATTGCCAATAATCTATTCCTCCAACTAACGACACTCGTCAATCTAATTATGGCTACGGCTCATTAACCCACGTTCCAATATTATATTCATAATAATCATATCTACTGTCCTTTCCTTTTCTTATCCAATCTACTTTGTAGGTCGTTGGGTGTTTTGCAATGGGGCTATGTATGCATTGCATCGAGATTTGATCTTTTTAGTTATTAAGAATTTAGGTAATAATTGCATTCTGGCCTTGTTGCTTATATTTTTTTCTCCTATTAGTCAAACATAAATTAACAAAGATCTAGTATTATGCAATGACGCACACTAAAAAACACATCACTAATAAAATATTATTTAACTATTTGCAATTTAATTAAAGAATTCCAAACCTAACTTTGATTAAGCCTGAGTGCCTAAAACATAAGCTCAGTGGACCTCAATTTTGAATAATGATAGATTGAGTGGGGGGCGTTGGAATAAACGGTTGCCTCTATATCTAATCCGATTTCCATGAATTTTTCCAAGGCGTGCGTCCAAGGAGAGGGTCGTTGGTTTGGTTTGGTTACGGACACAGCCAAAATTTGAAGGTGGCTACGCGGGCTATTCGTAGAGAGAGAGAGAGTGAGAGAGAGATTGATGGGTGTGGGAGTGGGTGGGGACAGGGGAGACAGAATCATGAGTGTCGGGCAGCGTGGGGAGCAATAATTGGGTCTCCCCTCTGATTTCGGACGCGTCATGTCCGCATCAGATTCCTCCTCCGTACTCACTTCTCTATCTGTCACCGGATTTTCCGCTTCACTGTAGCCATTACCAAACAAACTATTTGCCCTAATCGGACACGCACAATTTCTTGGCCGTGGGATGACCATCCGGCGGTGGCGTTGTGGGTCACGTGGGAGAGACACCTGTCAGGAGACACACCGGTGGTTGTCGGTGATGGGAAGGGGGGAGAGGCACGCGCGGGGTCATCGAAATGGTCTCTCTCCGGCAAAGGCAAAAATAATCAATCATAGGTCGCTGTCAAATCAAAACCAAAACTTGTATCGGAGGCCCCGAAAAACAATCGCTATCGGTTCATCAGTGCTCAGACCCTGACCCCAGTCTGCATCGCTTATTCGGTCGCCCATAATCACTGACAATGTGTCCCCGCCATCCTTCCTTCCCCTCCCTCACTCACTTCACACTTTGAATCACCTCTTCTTTTTGGCCTTTTCTGCTCAAACATGATTCCTCCCGCACGATCAATTGGAATTTCGCATGCTTATCCTCCTTCTCATCCACTGTTCATTAACATTGCTATTATTATTAACCATCATTCGAAGAAAAACTTTTTGACATCCATGCACGTTTAACTTTGGGAGGGTCCACAATCAAATTTTACAGTTATTATAGTGACAGGATTAAGTTGATTCAAGTTTAGGGTAACGGGGGGAAGTATTAATTTAGCTTTAATTTTGACAAGTGAAAATTCTGGAATCGGAAACCAAAAGTGAAATAAATAAGATATCGCTGTTTCTTTGTTCAATGACAGATTCTGCATTGAAAGATTCAAGAGACTAAAAAATACATAAAAAACTATAATGTATTTTTTATTTTTATATTAAAAAATTATAATAATTTATATAGATAAAAGTTTTATATATGTTTATAATCACAAAATGCAACATTTGATGCTAGCTTTATAAATTTTTAAATAAAGCAAAAAAAAAACACAAGGCGTAAAGAATTTTGGGATACACCACCCCAAAAGCTAGCTCAAATGGTCGGAGTGCCCAAGACATTAGTAAACTTCACATTAGTTGCTCATACGACCAACGTGGGACTATATATCTCAACACGCCCCCTCAAAAACTTCACATTAGTAAACTTCACATTAGTTGCTTATACAACCAACGTGGGACTATATATCTCAACACGCCCCCTCACACAAGAGCTCATTGAGCTTGAAGAGTGGATGATGCAACAGGCCCAGCCTGGGCTTGAAAAGTGGTTGATGCAACAGGCCCAGCCTACCTGTGGTAAGAAATTCCACAAAAGAAAGTGGGGGACGACGAGGCTCTGATACCATGTAAAGAACCTTGTATACACCACCTCAAAAGTTAGCTCAAAAGGTGGGAGTGCCCAAGCCCTTATAAACTTCACATTAGATGCTCATACAACCAATATGAGACTATATATTTCAAGAAAGAACACAAATGTCCAATCTCTTATTCAACAAAGTATTTATCCTTCAAGCAATGAGGTTGGATTAATTTGATATTTTAAATAAGTTTAAAACAAATTCAACCTAATATTTAAATAAATGGAGTAGTGTTTGTCCTTTTAAAGATAAAATTGTGTAATTTTAATCAAAATTACTGTATTTTATGATAAGAGAAATAGTTATACAATAGAAATCAAGGTGGAAGAAAGTAGAGGATTTTTTAATTTAAATATTAAATAATAATAATAATTAATTTTAACTAAAATATATGTCTTTTGAAAAGATAAACATTTTTTAAAATAAAATATATAAATGTTATGTATATATGTTTGGTGATACATACTAATGATATGTATGTTAATTAATGCATGTTTTTTTATAAAAAATAAAGGGAAATATAAGTATAATGATGTAGGAAATAAGTTGTTTCATGTTGTTCTTTTATAACTATGTATTTTGAGAAGTACATAATTGTAATATTATAACTATTTTTTTCTCTCCTCGAACACTTATAAAAGCATGTATGGTGACGGAGAGAAAAAAATTTTAATATTATAATTATATATTTTTTAAAATATATAATTATAAAGGATGACAAGACACAATTTACATCCTGCGGCATGACATCCGATGGACTCAAAAATAAATATAAAATATCATTTCAGGGAATTAAAAACAATATTCACTCTTACAAAGAGTAGATGTGAAGGCTCTATTACCCAGGTTTACGAAAAAGTTGAAGGATTCACAAGATATATATGTTAGTTTCGGTGCTACTCAAGAAGGGTTTAAATTGAGTAATTGTAATTCTTATTGAAATTTTATTTTATTTTAGTTTTACTAATTAAACAGAAACTGCACAAATAAAGAACACAACGATTTTTACGTTAAAAAAACTCCTAGACTCAATAGGAGTAAAAAAAAAAAACGACTCACTTAGATTCCCTAATCCAATAGGATTTAAAAAAACAATTTCACTCATTTTAATGAGTCAAAATATTCAAGAACGTACCATTGAGATACACTCACTTTGATCTTACACCTTAAATCAAAGTTCACAATTATTCCCTGATAATTCTATGCTTATTGTTATCATTAACAATAGTTAATCTCCACAGGAGACAATTCTCACACAAAAAAAGACCACCTTATAAAAGCTTCTTGATAAACAAAAAGGTGACAATGAACTGATCACGAAGCACTTAACCTAAGCTCACAAATCTTCAATGAGCATAACACTTAGGAAAATATTCTTGTCAAAAAGTTTTTAGCAGAGAATGTATTTTCTATATATTCCAAGAAGTTTGGATATATAGGCTTAACTTTTGACCCCTCTCTGTTATCCTTCAAATGCTCCCTTATCCAAATTCCAGCCTTTTCTTTTTTTTGTTTATTCACTCGAGCATCTTCAACTTTGGATTTAAATTTTTGTTATGTCCTGAAGAAGAGTTGTTTAGTCCTATGGACTAGTATGTTACTCTTGGTTCTAGGTGCTCTTCCTAAGTTATTTATGAGTTAAATATTCTTAAGTCAAGCAAATCACTGTGCACAAAAGAACACTAAACAGTAAGAGAAAGAGTGTAAACAAACAAAAAAGGCTTTATGTCTTATTTATAGCGTTTATACGTGGGTATTAGATTCTGAACCTTCTGTGCCTTTCCTATCAGCCCACCCATGTATTATATTATCATATTAGGATTAATATTCTTGATGGATATCCTTATTTAATTATATCTGATTTATATCTGAATTGCTCCTTATTGGGCTTAGCAATCAATGGGCTTCGTATATGGGTCGATAACAATCTCCTATTTTTAAATCTCATTGCAACAACAACATGAGTTACCATCTCTATCTTTTATAACATTCCTTCAAATAAGTTTACAGCTTCTTCAGTTGCTGAATTCTCTCCAACAAATAGGTCTTATCATATCCACTTTAGGCTCCTTTGATTTTTAATAATTTATCCAAATGCTGCAACCAACTAACAACCATAAGATTTATTCTGTTATTAAACAACAAACAAGATCGTTAGCTTTTTAAATTTCAAATATATCACTTGTGTCATCGTCAAAATTTCAACTATATACAATCTCTGTTGTATCACGTTTTGTCAGAGGAGAGAAACATGTGTGCTCATGACTTGCTTGCTAGACTCTTGGTCACTCGATTTCTTTTCTTGTACTGTTGTGGATCTCCTTCCCTTTCTCCAGCTAGCCAATCTTCTTTGGCAACACTGTGGAGCAACGGAGGGGCTAGGAGTGATGATCGCCCTCCTCAGTCCTCAAGTTCATGAAATTTTTATCTTAGACCAAACTTAAAGAAAGGTAAGGCAGCATAAATTTATCCCCTTCCTTCTTATTATTCTTCGTATACAAAGAAAAGTCGGAAAGTTCTTCAAATTTAGCTACGTATCGACCCATGCCACCATGTGTTGTTTTGTCTAAATTAGTGTGAATTATTCTTTTCTCGTCCCCTTCCAAAAAATTTCATGATTCCGCTATTGTTTGGCAAGATTCATTCGGTTAACCCACCTTGGTATGTATGGGCGTATTAGAGCCTCTTTGTATCCTATTATTTTTAAGCTAGAAATTACTTATAAGCTAAAGCTAAAATAAAAAAAGCTTAAAAAAAAAGCTAAAAACTGTTTGGAAATTACATAAAAGTTTTAGTTTAAAAATTACTTAAAATCACATATTTCAAGATAATTATCTCTCTCTATCTTTATCACTCTTCGTTTTAAAAAAAACTCACAATTCAAGAAAAACAGATAAGAGCTTAAAAAAAAGCTCCTCGTAAGAGCTTTTAGTTTTTACCTTTTTTCTTCATTATAAAAAAAGAGCTTTTCGTTATAAGAGCTTTTCCCAAGACCTGTTTGGCCTAACTTATGCTTAAAGGTAGCTTCGATCTTAAAAAAAAGATCCAAACAGGCACTTAGTTTGGTGCTTTTGAAGGTATATCATCAGAAACGCGGAAGCGGATCGTACCGATGTGATGAGGAATGAAGAACACCGCTTTGATTATCTGAGATGAAGCAGCGAGCGTGACAATTTCTCACGTTCTGTTCTCCTCCTTATGACAATTTCTCACTGTTCTCCTCCTCCGATCTGCAACAACGCACCACGAACGGTCGCAATTCCGCTCTACGGTTGATCTTCCAGGCTATGACTCAAGGGGATCAGGCTATGACAGAGTTTATGAACCGTTCAGACGATGAACGTCTGCCTCTTTGTGTTTCTGATTTCTGTAACCCCTGGGAGGCACTAGAGAGAAAAGAGAGTTTATATACTCTGTCCAATCCTAGACTAACCCTAAGCTTCATGGGTTGAATTTAGTCTTTTGGGCTCACTCTCACTAAAGCTATTGGGCTTAAGTGAAAAGAGCATATTAAACCCAACAATCTCCCACTTGCTCTTTTGGACACAAACTTGAGTTCATAAACTCAAGACTATGTAGCCCATAAGCCATCATCATCTGATTATACAACGCATCCCTTGTCTCGAGCTAGCCTGGGGATCTACCATTTGTCACTCATCAAGGCTCCTGATAATCTTTGAAAGATTATCTAATTCGGCGCTACTCCACTAAAAGCCCGAACGTGAACCGTGAACTCCAAGATTAATGACCTTTATAACATGAATATGCATCGCCCCTTTGTAGAATGTCTATAATTGATTGACAAGTTTTCTGTAACTCAATCAATTATTTATTTCCTTGACTATGATAGTTTCTCTAATGGATTGCATGCACTGGCCAGTGTCTTTAATATCCAAGTACCGAAACATATCAAAGGGACATATCCTACAAATGATATAGATCGCCCCGTGCATGTTGTATAATTAATTTTGAATACCTAAGTCAAAATTAGCTTACTCGTCATGTTGTATAATTAATTTTGAATACCTAAGTTAAATATAAAAAATAAACTATATAAATATGGAAAACATTATTAAAAAAATAGTATATCTCAAAAAACATTATAAGAAAAATCATAAAAATCTCATATAAAACATTATATACATTTCAGTTTTTTGAAATAATGTTTTACTGTTTAAACGACAATATTTCATGTAATAATGATAAAATAAAATAAATTCTAATAATATATATACACGAAAAAAGTTTATCTATGTTCTGGTCTTTTCTCAATTGGATATTTAAGTCATTAGATCAAATTTAATTTCACTCTATGGTAATTCTGTGTATTAAACATTGCAAGTTTTTTTTTTTAATTATAAGATACTAAACTATAAATTTGAAATAGTCAATCTATTTAAATCCATTTCATTTTATTACAATGGAATTACTATTGTTGCACTACAAAGGTGACACAAAAATATATTAGTGATGAAGAATTTGCAAAATTTCTAGAACTTCATAAATTTAAATATACGTCTACCATATAAATAAGTGTTTAATTCAATTTTGACATAACTGATCAAACCAATTGCTACTTTTCTAAAATACTTTTGCAACGTTAAAAAACATGCTTGCATTGTACAATGCATAATTATACATTCGACATGTATGTTACATGTATTCGGATTTTGGAATAGGCTATCAAAACAACAACTTAGGGCATATTTTAATTCTGTTTTTAAAAACAATTTTTTGATTTTCAGAAAGAAAAAAAATAAAAAAAATATGTTTGATAAGGTCTGTTTTGTAAAAATAGTTTTTTTTTAAAAAAATATAACTATTTTTTAATTTTTAAAATCAATTTTAGAGAATATTTTTGTTTTGTGTTTTGACTTTTAATTTTTAAAACCAGAAAATACAGAAAACACAACTATTATAATAGATATACAGTCTTAAGAAAAAAAAAATAGAACATAATCAAATATGCCCTTAGTTGTGATCTCTAATTTTCTGCATATCGGCATATATAATATGGATTTAACATTTTTTTTCCAGCAAAAAATATGTATTTTGTACACTTATATAAAAATAAGTGGATATTACTAATTTGTTCTCTCAAATCTCTTCAAAATGAAACTAAACATAACTAATTTTCCCATGTAATATTTTATATTTTCATGGTTTTTTGCTCATGCATGCCAAAATTAAAAAAGTTATGAGTAGGTTAAATTTTTTAAACGACCAAGACGCAAAAAGTTGTTGAACGAAATGCTTCCTCGATGTCTGTTATCTATCACAAAATCGTCAACATCAACCGACAAGAAGATGAAACGTTACCCATATCCACTTGAAACGAGTCACTATCTTTGAAGTACTCAAATTCAACGCAAAGACCAAATTGTTAAACTGGCAACGGGATAAAAACTTGAAACCATGATGAATATGCATTACTCAAAAGTAACGAGAAGGAAGCAAATTACGCTAGTAAAACTAGTACTATATCATTACACGTAGTAAAAAAGAAAGGAGCCAACCTCGCCTTGTTGACTGCTACAGTTTGATGGAGAATTGAATAAAAAGGGGAATTGCGTGGACAAATTAAGTTATGGAAACAACAATAATGTATGATCAAATATCCTTAAGTTGCCTAAGATTCATTGGAGATATGTATCTCTTGTCTCCGTCAAGTAGCTGCTTGGCGAGTATTAGGTTGGAAGCCTCGCTTGGGTGGTATGCATCCCAGAACACGTGCTTGTACCTATCTGAGCACAAGCTAGACGTAGGCCCACATGGTATTATCCCTGCTAACTGGCCCCCATTTCCACAGCAAGCTGTGCTCGCTGTTGTAAATCCTGCAAAACAACATATATTATTATTAAATAGACAAATACTGTTTAAAACGTATAAACTATCTGATTGAAATACTAGTTGAGTCACTAAATTCTTAAGTAAAAGGTTATGCATTTAATTGCGAGGACTATTTAAGGCCGTTTAGTACACGGATTTTTTTCGAATTCTCATAAAATTTAATTTTTTTAAATTTTAAATTTTCAGATATTTTCGTAAATGTAAAAATTATATTTTTAAAAATTGAGATTCTCGGACAAATTTTTTTTTTTCCTGTACCAAACGTTCCCTTCATGTAAAATATAATAATATAGTAAATCTCGCAGAGCATGTATCTATCTATCTATATATATATATATATATATATATATATATATATATATATAAAGATAGTAAACTCCTATGACGTAAATAATTTTAAGACTAAATTATTTACCATATTTATCATGATTTCTTATGATTTCCATCACTAAATCATACACATCTGCAAGTACGAACGTGGCTCCATGGAGATTGTCATTTAGCTCAGCAAGCAAGTCCTTCAATCGGGCATTGTATTGGATTGCAAGCTTGTTAGCCAAGTCCGCACAATCATCTTCATTCAGCTGATTTATAGCCTTTTGGTAAGGTATGCAGCCTATTGGGCCAACGTTGGCGATGACAAACTTCCGAGCATCCATTTGGTAAAGTCTCTGTCATTCAATTTAAAAATTCAAAAGTAAAAATTTCATTTCGTGTATATGAAATTTATTTAAAATAGTTATTTTAGAAAGTTCAATTCATTCATAAAGTTAGTTTATGCATTGTATTTGACATAATTTACAATTAGTTTAATTTAGATTAAGGTGTATACGGTAAGTTGGGCCCTGAAGTGATTGATCATGTCGTCGACGAAAGCGTCTGGGCTTTGAGAAATTCTAGCTCCAGCAGAAACAACCGGAAGAAGATAATTGTTAAGGAAATCATTGGCCCCAACGGTGATGGAGAATAGGGATTTCTTCATTATGTACTCTCTGGCCTCAGATTCACCTAGCAATTTGTCAATCTGTTTTCTTGTTATGTTGAAGTAGTCTATTTGAATATCCATTCCGATCCTATTCACCTGACAAATAAATTTAAGCATATGTAACACGGAACAATTATATATATTGCTTATTTTAAATCGAGATTAAAATTAACCAAGAAATAAATACACGAGAGTTAAAAATACTGACAAATAAGCTTCCTGTTGCATTCAGAATCCCTCCTCCTCCTGAAGCATAATTCACTCCATTTAGTATGGCTTTCCCAGATGCGTTTGGTGCCAAAAATGGGACAGCATAATTTGGTTGTCCCAATTCCTCTCCTAAAAAGGTTAAAAAAAAATTATATATAGAAATCAAACGAGAAAATGAAAGGTAATTGTTTGTTAACAAGGACAACTAATATGTGAAATATAGTTGAAAGAAATGTTACCTACAATATCACCAATGGTTCTTCCATTGGTGAAACGGCCAGTGGGGTTTCCTCCGGATGCTTTGAAATCAATTCCATTGGGCTGGATGTTTGCCTTCGAAAGAGTTGAAAGATAGTTGTTGTTTCCTGCATCTACCAATGAGTCTCCAAAGATGAAAGAAGCTCCTAAACTATCATTCTGAGCAGCAGCATTTTCATGAAAGCTCAGGTTGACAAGCAAGAAAAGAAGGGCCAAGGTGTTAAAATACTTCAATGCCATGACTTTCATGCTCTACGATTTTTGTTCACGTCAAGAAGCACTTAAGTACCATTGTATGAGGCAAAGCTAGAGGAGAAGCTTATAAGAAGCATTTTTTCTTCACAAGAGAAAACTTGTACGCTTTAGTTAAATTCAATTTGCGTTGACCCCTTTTTTCTCAATTTTCTTTTTTTTCTTTTTTGAAAAAAAGAACTGTAAAGGAGTGGACAATTTGAATACAAATGTTCATGTGGTAGGTCATCAATATATGTATATATTCAGATTTCTCAAGGTGCGGACGTGGTCTCGGAGATTTTGTTTTTTACAGTAAGCTATGTCTACCAATTAAAAGTCATATAGTTGATGCATGATGTGAGATAATAGAACAATTCAATATAAGTAGTTGGGTTACAAGACAATTTGTTGTTTGTTAGTTATTTGATACTCAATGCACATAATGAAAAATTTGTGATATCTATGAATAGAATAACGTAAAACTTATTGAAATACACTTTGTATTATGTATTATTTCGTGTATATTATAGTGAAAAAACATTTTCTCAGTTGCATGATAATTAAATTCTCATGTTGTGACCTTTCGATTTGCGTGTAAAGTTTTTCTTTTCTTTTTCTTTTTTTAATAAATGTGGGACCCACCATTAGTTGAGTCACAACATAAGAATTCAATTCTCATACAGTGGCGGAGCCCCGAGCCAGGATTGGAGGGGAAGGGGGGCAAAAATTAATCTTTTGTCATGCATAATATCAATGTTTTCGATACCAATTGACCTCATACTTTTATGGAACTCATTTAGGTAATTTTTTACCAAAATATTAACATTTAACAACATTTCAAAGACCGAAAAATATACTATTGATCGTATGCAATAATTAAAAACAAAAAAGGATAGTGCCTTCATTTAACATCAACTAAAACAATGCTTTTAACTATAATTTTTTTTTTAAATAAATAAAAGGCTGAACTAAGTTGCCCCAAAAAGTGAATCTTTTAAGTTAGAGCAAACTCATTTTCTCTGTATGAAACCACTACACAAAGAGAAAAACAACCATGCAAATGACGCAAAGTAAAAATGTGAAAGCTTTCATTAACCAAAACATAGCAAATGAAAATAAAAAAAAAATATACAGAAAAGGGTACACATGACACACATATTAGGTGAAGTGGAGGTAAATTTCTACTTGGATCTCAAATCAGAACTTCCAGAATACACATATTTAACAATAACAACAGTATCACGTCTAGCCTACAATTGCATCAAAAAAAAATTTGGAGGGGGGAGGGGGGAGGGGGGCGGCCGCCCACCCTAGCCTCTCCCTGGCTCTGCCCCTGTTCTCATGCAACATGAGAAAATTAAAGCCCTATTATAGTTGGAACTTGAAGAATAAATAAATAGTAATTTCTTTTTTTCCTCGTATAAAATTTTGTAACTCGGTTTAATAAATAAATAAAGGAAATTAATTTTTTCTATGTTACGTAAAAGAAGTATTATCTTGTATACTCACATTTTTTAAATGGGTCTTAAAAAAAAAAAATCTCACCTCTAACTTTTTTTTCTCTCCTATTTATTGTTTGAGTGTGAAATAATACTTGTCTTGTGCAACATAACGTAAGAAATATATTAATGAAATAAAATTAGTGCTGTCTTTTCAATTGCTTTTTTTGTTTGTTAATTTTTAATAGGGAAAAATGTTTCTGCAGTTAATGCAGATAAGTTATCTGCATTTATTCCTAAAACGACGTCGTTTTGGTATTGAAATCTTAAAAAATTATGAATATAAAGACTAGTATAACCCTGAAATAAATTAAAATTACAAAAATACCATGATTTCTGCCCTAAAACGACGTCGTATTAGCTTACTGCAGATAAGTTATCTGCAGTAACTGCAGAAAAAACGAACCCTTTTTAATAAATCAAAACGATCCTTAGTTTTATTCATGGTGACGTACTCAAACAAATCAAAACGATCCTTAGTTTTATTCATGGTGACGTACTCAAGGAAACTGAAACCATTCGAAAAGAAAGTTCTGGGAACTAATTAGGTATTGTTTGGTGATTGTAAGTAAAAGCGAATAACCTTCGAGAAATTAGAAGCACTCGTTATCGTTTGTAACATTATTGTATCTTATCATATTAATTGATCACCTAAATCACAGTTCATCAGAATTTAACAACTTTGGAATTTAAAAAGGGTTTTCTTTTTTCTTTCCATTATTTTCTTGGTCAACATGTTCAAAAGTAGAATCAATCTTTTTTATTTCTTATTTTGTAATTTGGAGTTAATAAACAGTGTTTTTTTTTATATGTAAGAAAAATCACAGACAATTTGATAAACAAGCATTGCACCTTTTCAGTTTTTCTGTCCTATTGAAGTTGGCTTTGATTTTCAGGTTGCGTGAGCTCCATGAGGCAGGAATTTTGGGTGGGGTCCTTTTTTTAGTTGCGGGAAGGTAAGCGACGTATTTTGATTAATTTAGCTCTTTAATTTAGTAGAAATTAGGCCATTTATAAGGAAATTAAAAATCTATAAAAAAATTCTTACCTGACTCTGTTTAATTGATTTTTTTTTTTTTTTGGAACATGACTCTGTTTAATTGATATTGTTCATGACTTCATGTTTAAGTATATTAGCACGTGAGAATTTCACATATTTTTTCATCTAAAAATTTGATTTTCATATTTCTATTCACATATATTTATAAATTTCAAAATAACTCTATCTATTTAATATCCATGAAACAATAAATTTAAATTTTTCATTTGATAAGGTCATGATTTATTTTTTTAAGGTCAGAGAATTGAGATGGTTATATTTACAAATTTTTTGTTTATAAACTCTGGTAAACATAACCCTGCCGGAAATTTATTTTCTCCTAATATACATACCTATCCAGACCATCCAGTAGCTTGTCTTCGGTGAAGGGATCTTGTTCGGGTCTATTAGGCAATTAAAAGCTGTATGAGTATAATTTATAAAAATTTCAATAAATAATCGTGTTCAGTTTGACCCTCAGCATTCAACAATTTAGTTGGAACTATATAGTAAATATTCATGGTAATTTATACACGATATTATATTGGTTATGTATTTATCAAGAATATTATCAAATTATTCTTTCACTAACTATGAAATTATCCTCTCTCTTTTTGGTGAAATATGAAATTATCCTTTTAAATATTAGTTTAACATACAGATAAAATAAATTAATTGAATTTCATTTTAAATAATAATTTGTTGAAAAAATTTAATATCAAATAATCAATTTCATCTATTTATACAAAGAATAACTTGATGTTTGGTATACATTTAGAAGGTTAAAATAGACATTTAAACCATAACTCATTTCCAAATTTTATTTTACTATTAATTCAATTTTTTTATAAAAATACCGGTAAAGTTAATGAAATAAATCTATTTTTTTAACTAATTGAATTTATCCTTTATTTAGAGTACTGTGGTTTTAACTTTTACTCTTTTTATTGGGAGAAAAATCACAGTGAAATATTTTTCAAAATAAATTATTCAAATATCGTATTTCTAAAAAATATTTGTCAAAATGTCAAGTTTTAGAATTTGTTGTCAGATCAATAAATTCAGTTTATGAAGTGTCAACTGAACAAGACCCCGTTGTCATAAATAACAAATTCAGGACCTATTATTTCTAACAATGGGTATATATTTGTGTGACATATAGCAAATAAATGGTGTTTTTTTTATGTAATTGGAATATTATTTTGTCATATGTAAAAAGAAACAATATATCCTGAACCCATTATTTCTACTAGTGAATGGTTGTCCAAATAAGTATGACGAATCATCTTCAGTTGACAACTGAGCTTTCAAGGATTTACTTTAGGGATGTGCAAAATAATCAAAAAATTGAACCGAACTGAACTGCACTTAAAATAACCGATTTTTAAAAATTAGTTCATGAACCGAATCGGTTTTTAAAGAACCAATTCATGAACCGAATCGGTTTTTAGAATCAGTTTAAGAACCGAACTATTTCTGAACCGAACCGTTTTCAAATCGAACCAAATTGATTTTTATAACTTTATTTTTAAATTTTAAATTTTTTTCTTTTCAAAATAGGGTCGACACGAACCGGTTCCGAACTGAACTATTTTTGAACCAAACCGTTTAAACCAATTTGGTTCGGTTTGTTTCGACCTATGCACATTCCTAGTTTACTTGAATCAAGAGTTCAAATTCTGCATCAAGTAAATTCTTCGAATGATGATTAGTCTCATCTTTCTTTTATTTTTAATTGCTATGAATTGAAAATTATTTTTAAAATACAAAATTATAGCATTAAAATCTTTATACTTTTTCCAACAACAAAAAAAGTCATATACTTCTTATCCATCTTTTGAGGACAATTGTGCTTTTTTAAAGAAAAATAATAATTTAACTTCAATGCATTATGAAATTATAATTTTTCGACATTACTACTAGTCTACTACTCTTGTTCAAGAATTACAGTTTTCCTAAAATAAGAAATTTAGGGTCTCTTTGATTTGTGTTTTACAAAACAGTTTTTTAATTTTAAAAACAAAAAAACACGTTTGATACTTGATGTTTTGTGAAAACATTTTAAAAACAAGTTCTGATTTTTGGTTTTAAAAACAAAATTTGGAGAACACCCTTGAGGTGTTTTTGTTCTGGGTTTCTACTCTTTGTTCTCATAGGATAAAAACACGGAAAACAGACGACTCTCATTAATGGCAACACCGTAAATAACTACATATTAAAAATACTTCACTCTTTAGATTTTTTCTCCCCCCTGCATCTCATAGTCTCACCTAGATCTCAGTTCTCAGTCTCAACTTCACTATATTCAATTTGTCAATCTTTCTTATTTTTCATGCCTTAGCTCGTATGTTTCGTCATGCCTCTTATTTCCCATTCCACTTCAATTTGTCAATTTTTCTTTGCATTCTTTCAAGTCTCTTGCCTTTTCTGGGTTTTGTTGAACCCACGTTCTAGATCTACCATTTGTG